CGAATTTCAATCGTATAGAAGTTGTTGTCTTTGAAACCGTAAATTTTCTTCAACTCCTTCTGTGCTCGAGAACTATTCCCGCACCTAATCAGCCAATATGGGGATTCAGGAAAGAAGTACCATCCTGCGGTGAGAATAACTACTCAGGCGGTTAATGACAGTAGATGTACCACGCAGCTACCGCACGTACGTGGGAAGAAGTACATAGAAACCACCGGCAACCACCATTGCCTGGGAGAAATGAGTCAGTCAAGAGCCTGTATCATGTAGGTTCAAGCCCTACCATTTTCCAGCGATATGACTTCCTATATTCGCCATTATGACACTTCACAATGTATTAGTAATAATAGTCACGGACGTGGAGACGAAGGAAATGCTGACATTGCGAACTGGCCAAACACAATGCTGGTGTTGAAGAAGCAGAGGAAAAAGCCTCGGAGCTCTGGTCGGCATGTCTCTCCGATCCAGAGCGGAGATATGGTAAACATGATGCCAATGGCGATCCCTGGGTTTCAGTCAGATTAAGGAAGGCTACTGAAGAGCTTTCGCCCACCATTCACCCCTCTACCAGCGAGATGCGTTCGCCAATCAGTTGCCAATTGTTGCAGGAGCACACCGGCAACTGATATTATGTTCGCCACCAGAATCCCGGGTTTGCGACCATACTTTTCTAGTGAGGGAACGACGAAGAAGGTGGCTGCAATCTCACACGCTGGAGCAATTGAACTCCAAGCCGACAGATATAGCGCTGGAATGACATAGTCTCCTGACGGCTGAAGGACACCGAACTGCTTCTGGAAAGCGGGCAGCGCTGCCAATTGCCCTCCCGCCACGATGTCGAAGCCCTGCATAATGACGCCGCAGGATATCCAGAGTGCTGAAGAAGATAAGAAAATGTGAACTTCTCGCGATAACTCAGACTTACCCCAAAGAGCGAAGCGCCATTGCAAGCGAAGCATGCGCCACTTCTTATCGTGGTTGATGATAGTATAGTCAATTCTGGCTGGAGATCAGTTCCTGTACTATTTGGGGGGTTATGGCTCTCGTACTCGGCGTCCATTTTGAAAGATAAGATCTCAGTCGTATATTGGTGGACGCTGAATTCACATCCCCTAGGGTAGTGCATTCAGCTATATATGGAGCCAGAATGACTTACCCCGTGGGGGAGAAAGTGGGGGCTCCGGGGGAGTATCACGAGCCCCTCATCGCGGAGAATTATTGGGATTCCGCGATGTGGTCTGATGAGAAACTGCCGACTACTGGAGTTGACGACCCTTGCTTGTTACTCCAAGCAAGGCGATAGTCCCACACCGTGCCATCTATTCCAGATAAAGATATGTGGCGCCACGGTGGCAATAGTTCCGACATAGGCACGAAATTTTACCCATACCGCGGGATCATAGCATCAGACAACACGTCTACGTCCAGAGCTGCTTCTATGCTGAGCACAACACTTTTTCCACCTGTTGAACGCCATCCCCCATAATTCTATGAGCTTTCTCTATCAAGAAAATGTGTATTGAAATTCAGCCATTATTTATACATTCTGGATATCACAAGGAACTGATTAAATTTTGCGGCGGAAGCTGACCCTCCCTAAGAGTTGACGTCTAAACAGGAAAGGGTCTCGACTCCGCTCTCTTCTTAGTAGCCTGGGTCAACCGTCAAACATCGGCCCAAAGTGTTGCTCCTACATTCATGACAATAGTAACATGCGAATAATACGAACGACCGTTACGTAGGTCGCCCCTTCAACAAGTGGAGGTCACGGTCAACAATGGATACTCAACATCTGGTCGAGCCATGCGCAAATATAACGGTTCCTTCCCATAAGTCAAGCACATGGATCACTGTCATAATTAGAAGCTCAACTCACTGCCCACGTTCGCATCATTTCCGACGCAGAAGTCCTGGAAGTCTTCTACAAATGGATGATATATTTACACCAGCGCGCAAGGTGTTACTCCCCAAAAACATGCCAAATATAGCATAGCTGGCTTTCCGCCGAGGAAGCTGGGACAGACTGTCGCGTAACCCTTGCGAGAGTCCCAGTCAAGAAGACTGGAGAGCATAGGACAGGGAATATCGGCTCTGGATAGACGTGCCACTACTCATCTTATACGCTTTCACACTCTTCTATGACAATCCAACCTGTTGTATCCTCTCCCCTAAAATGTCCTGCAGAATCATCAAGGATGAACTTCTTCGTATGATGGCCTGATCGGCACGTCCTGCTGCTCGGATGCATTCGTAGAACTGCGGAGAACATAGCCCAGTCAAACATGGAGTGCTTGCTGCCGATATTGCAGCCACTGAAGTGATAAAGAGGCTATCGCTCACATTTAGCAGGGTATTCTACTCACATTGGGTAGGGCTTAGGGAACTTACCTAACAAACAATGTCCACCGGTTCACTAAGCAGTCCTGAAAAGCTGCTACAATACTTGGGGTTAACAAGATATAGGAATCAAAGAATTTCTGGCAGTCATCCCGAAGGAGACCTGCACTTCCTTCATCTTGCATAGCCTGGTAAACGGCAGGCCAATATATAGAAAGCTTGCAGCAGTAGTATTGAACACGCAGGAAATTCGATAGAGGGCAAGCTGGTACATTGGCTATCTCTAATGGCTGACATACGTCACCCTTGTCGAAGCGACTTATATTGAGTAGGTGGCAGTACCATTCCTCAAGTTGGCGTTCCAACTCTACTGCGATATACGGGGCATAGACATATTTCCCAGTGGAGGTAGCTTGAACTGCTGTATTGCATCGATGGAGCATACGTCTCATGGCGACCTCTGCTAAGAAGTATGATCGTGTTGCGTCTTCACTCGCATTAAGCAATGGCGCATCATGTGGGGGGGATGAGGTTGCGAGAGCCTTTGAGGCCATCTCGGGAGTGAATTCCCACGTTTGTTGGCATAGAGGAAGTGGAACACATTCATCCAGGCACCAAATATCACTCCTGGCGAGGTCCAACTGGCCAGCAATTTCACTATGATCAAGATCAGTAAGAACACGATCGTAGTGGGTGAAATAAATTGCATACTTCTCCAGTAACAACACCCCCCAATATACGCGCCGCGTCATTTCAACTGTGTTTGTGTCATGTCCTTCCAAGCCACTAAGACAGTTTTGTCAGACTCAAGTCCACTACGCCCAGATATGGGAGAATCACCTCTTAATAATATTCACAATTTTAGCTGACGCAATCAAACAATAGTCATGGGCCTGACAAGGTCTCAGTAGGCAACAATAATACAAGCTGATGAGCATAAGACATTGAACACTTCGGATACTGCACTCGCGGATGATAATCGGCAGGGACGCAAGAGCGGTTTCGAAATACGGGACGCTCGAGACTGTCATGTCTTCCGCAACACTGTGGCCAATTGCTGCCACCAAAAGAGAGAGGCAAGATTCGGAACAAGGTTGCAAGGGGCCAGAGAGCACCCGGAAGTACTCCGACGAAAAGTCCGAAGCAAGAATCGGATACCAGATATGAACTCGGGCAGAGAACGCAGCCAGTGCGCTAGTACTTTCATTAGTGGATATCCTAATTACGCTATATTCTACTGGCCTCCACTCACCTTACTGCATGTCGATGATGAACAATAAGCAGGTGTGGTCTCCCGCCTTCCGAACTCTCGTCGGCTTGAGCGGTCCTTTCTCCTCGAATCAAGGACTTGGCAAAATCGGTATCCAGCCCCAATACATCCATGACCGAGGAGTTGCCGAGGAGCTTGGAAGGTAGATCAAACGGGGAAGCACCTGCCTCGGTTGAAGCATCGTATTCATCGCTCAGACCTGCAGCACGAGGATCCGGGGAAATGGGTGCGACTGGAACCAGCAAGCTGAATAATTGGTCTAAGCGTTTATTCATCGCGCTTAATTCTGCTTCAACCCTATCCAGACATCAGTACTTACTTGCTGTCTGTATGCATGCCGCGGAAAGAGCAGTCACTTACCGACTAGGCTGTGCGGGGGGTGGCTCCTGATAGACGCAAACCATGTTCTGGGTTTGGCAGTATTGACATGCCGGTCGCCGCGAATCGCACTTGGTCCTCCGCGCTCGACAAGCGTCGCATGCCAACGTCGTGCGTCTGCGCTTACTTGGGTGGGCATTATCCATCGGCAAATAGGTAGCACTCAGAAGCGTACTACGTAGGGAGGCTTGAAGGGAATCGCGGAAGACGAAAAATGCGCCGTATTATTGAGACCCCAAGTACCCGGCACATCCCCGCACTTGCTCTCGCGGAAAAGCGGAGAACCTCCGCGAGACTCAAGTTGTTGCGGGGTGACAGCGAGATGCGTTCCGCGTTCCTTTGGGTTTAGTGGATAAGGTAAACCAATGAAATATACGATTGGACTGTCGTGGAAGCGGCTCATTTAGGCAATTGTCATCAGCTCCCGCGTGGACGGGAGGCTAGAACCAGTCAGTCCTCTAGAGGTGCGCGGGCAGCAAACACCGATGATAATTTCATTCCCGTATGGACGCTGTTATCCGTCCTAGATAGCAGTGCATTTTCTACCTGAAGCCCTGACTTCGCTCTCCTTAGACACCATCATGTTTTGCATCTAACCAAACATACGCACACTGTTATTCCACGCTGCTTCCGCCACAGTTTCGACCGGAATCCCCTTAAGGCCAGCGACGACCATCGCAACGCGCTCAATGGTACAAGGTTCGTTGCGCGATTTGATCATCTGCCCGGCAATAAACTTCTGATATTTCCGGGAGGGAGGTAGTGGGCGTGCTCTCTCCAAGTACGACGCGATCTTCTCATCCTGGCTCCGCACCTCGCACCATGGCGCATCCGTTTCCAACTGTAGCTTGTCTAACGGTATATGGCGCACCATATCCAGTTGATCGTCTGTCCGGAAGCTGATTCCATTCACACTAATATCCAACCCTAAACCGACCAACTGTTCCATTTCGGCTCTGGATCCTGAGAAGGAATGGACCAGCCCACCACGAGGAAAGCGGGACATATACGGTGAAATGATGTCTATAAAATCGGCGCAGGAGTCGCGGACATGAAGGAAGAGTGGCAGTTGCATGTCCACGGCTAAATTCAGTTGATCGCGGAATGCTCGTTGTTGTGTTTCTTTGTCGGCGCGGTCAAGATGCTCATAGTCCAGTCCGATTTCGCCGAATGCCACCACTGACGAAGGAGATTCGGCAAGTAGCCGAGTTCCGAGTTCTCGAAGGCTTTGGAGATACGATACACCACCATCTTCGGTAGCGTAGATCTGCTCGACGTGGTAGGGATGTACGCCTAACGTCATTGTGCAGATACGAGGATATTGCCTCGCCAGTTGCAAGTTAATATGTGCGCCGGCCATGGTCATTGTGGTGAGAATCATCTTCTCGCAACCATATTGCTGCGCGCGTTTGATAACATCTGAAAAGTCACTCTCGTGGTACTTTTTGCCGCGATAGATGCCGTGAAATTGATCGGCGGTGTAGGTGACTGCAACCTATAACATATTAGCCTGCAGTGCCTTCAAATTAAGTTGTCTGTGTGGACTGAGGTCCTGGAGCGGATAAGGAGCTTACATCTACAAAACGGAGCGGCATCTTTGATGATGCAGTAAACATGTTTTGTCGCATCTGTAAGATTTCGCGTTTAATAAGTGCCTGGACTAATCAAGTCTTTGATTGATTTGGTGAATTAAATAAATGGCGCGTATTACACGCAGATGCTTATAGTCTATTTGCTTCACTCGGCTTCCCGACGGAAGCGTCGCCGGGTACATGCACCCAGAATATCTGTTGCCGAGTAACCATCTGACTATAACACGTTCCCAGCCAAGGAAGATTCAAATGTAGTAATTCCTAAGAAAATCAAACACATGAGCCTTCATTATCAATAAAATTATCTTCCAGTCCCTCTAATAAGATAAGATGTAGTTCACATTCGCAACTAGGATAGTTATTGGCAATCCGACTTTGACATTAGATGTTTCCTCAAAGGCCGTGGGGGCCTGCGGCCCAAAAGGTCCTCCAAGCTTATATTACCCATTGAGAAAGACTTTCTTCCGCTTTTCCCTTGTGATACTAAGGCGGTTAAGCTCCCGAACCGGGCACCGAATTCCGGAATAAGAACCGAACATCTATCGGAAGATTTACTTCTTCCTGTTGCGCATCCTGCATGACGTGTGGCCCCTCCCATCTTCCCTTTAGTAAACTCGCATTGCAGAAAACGATATACGGCTGTACCTCGGTTCGTTTCCTCAAGGGATAAGCTTGCGCTTCGCTACTAAAATATCGATAATCCATACTAAGCTGAATTCTAGACCGGTATGCGCTACGTGTTCGGCTGTTACTTGGTCTGCCTTCCATAGTTCAGGCTAAAATTACTATTCCTACCAACGACGATGAAAGCAATACTGTGCAGGTACATGATGTGCTCTGGTTCATGCTCTAAGACCGCCCGTAACTGCACATGTACCCAAAGTCCCTTCTTTTGCCACTTCGAAACTTGGCACCAAGCGGCCTAATTGGGTTTCACCTCTGCTGTCAATAATAGGGGCTGGGTTATCATCTCGGTCCTTTTTCCTAAAACAGAAAAAATTCGTGTTATTCGCAGGATGGGCACATGGGACATGGAGTAGCCAATCAGGGCACTCACGATCGTAAGTAGGAACGGGTTTCTTTTCGCCTTCTTTCAGCAGGGTGCTCGGGTATATTTCCTCCTCTACGGATAGACCACTCTCGTGATATAACGCCAATGACGTGTTGTTCATAAGCGAGTGACCTATAATTCGTTAGGAACATGCTTACCCCATTGTTAGATAAGCCTGGCGTGCTGTCTCGGCCTTCATATTCAGACTGTCTGAAAGGTATGCTCCTCTTATTCCACTTGTGAGAATAATCAGAACGTATCTCACTCTGTCGACAGAAGAAGGACGCGGATTGCCTAGAGAGTCTCAACTGCCGTCGGTGATTAATGCCCAAGACACTCGACCAGCTTATAGCAGAACATAAGAGAATATGTCTCAAAAGCAGGCACGAAGGCCATTTGCAGTATCCGGAAAAACTGCAATAGTGACTGGTGCAGGTTCAGGTAAGTAAGAGTCCTGTCCAGCTAGAGACGTTTCCGTCGCCGGGGAAGCTGAAGCAGCAAGGCATAAATCTCGCGTTTGCCAACCTGTACTGTCACGGAATTGCAATGTTGTGATTGCGGATATCAGCCTCCGGCCTGAAGCAGAGAAGCTCATCGCTCAGTATGGGGGATTGCAATCGTCACCGCGGGCCGTCTTTGTTCAGACGGACGTGACTTCCTGGGCAGCATTGACGCAGATGTTTGAAGTTGCACTGGAAGAGTTCGGCGATTTCCATATACTTTGTCCGGGAGCGGGTATATATGAACCGCATTGGTCGAATTTTTGGCATCCCCCGGGTTCCCCAGAAAGCAAGGATGGCCTGGATTCAAATCGCTATTATTTGCTTGATATCAACCTCACCCATCCCATCCGGACAACTCAGCTAGCTCTATCCTACTGGTTACATCCGAGAAGCCGACCCTCGTCGTTCCATCCGGTTGCTGAGCCAGTCAGTCCCGAAAATCCAAAACGTATCATCCATATTTCCTCCGTTGCAGGCCAGATACCAAACTTCAACGCGCCCATTTATGGTGCATCAAAGTTCGCAATTACGGGATTCGTCCGCTGTCTAGCACCGCTCGATCAAGCCATTGGTGTACGGATTAATGCTGTCGCACCTGGCATCATCCGAACGCCGCTATGGACTGAGCATCCAGAGAAGCTTCTGCAACTAGACCAGGAAAAGGACGGATGGGCCACAGCTGACGAAGTGGCTATGGCAATGTTAAGATGTCTTGATGACGAGGACCTAGAAGGGGGTGCAATTCTGGAGGTGGGAAAGAATAGTACAAGGCGTGTTGAGGTTCTTAATGATCCTGGCCCAGATGAGAGTCTTGGAACTGCCTTCAAAGCAAGCAAAGCTGAAGAAGCCGCAGAACGGATTTTATACTGGTTGCGACAAAGCGATATATGGGGTTAACGGCAGGACTACTTACTAGGACATTTAAACCCCCCGGCCGGCAACCAAATTATGGACACTGTACTAGAAAGACATTTATATATATAACTACATCTCCTCATGATACAGTTTCTTGATACCAGATATCCAATAAAGATTCACATGAAAGATCATAACGAACATCGCTAAAGGTCGACAGGGGTGCAGTCAAGTCTTCGTAACGCACCAAGGGACGGACACTTGTCAGTAGCATTTCTGTTATAAGCACGATTGCTTCAGCAGGTATATTCCGTTCTTCAGTTCCTACTATGGAATTTGCGTCTTCTGAAAATGGGACCCAAGGACATTCACATTCCAGGCTCAAGCCGGCCCATTTCCTTCTTGGTCCTCCATTGAACCATGCAGCATAACTCGTACAAGGTGGATAGAATAGGTGTTGTTACCCCCTCGCCCTTTCTGGCCTCGCGAATGACTTCCCCCAGAATATTTTCGTGCTCGATGAAATTGCCCTGACATGGGATTTTTTAGTAAAATCAGTCCGATACACAGATAGAAAGCTAACATACTTTTTGTATGTCCACCAACATGCTAGGGGATATATCCTCCTCTGGTGGGTTACTCTGAATGGTCTCCTTTATTATAACTCCTGGAAGCGAGTAACCATCTGCTTCGGCCACAGATATGATCTCTTTCATCGCGGGAATAAGCAACTTGTCAACGGCCCCAGATGTCCGCTGCAACTCGCCCGTCGTTAAACCCGTCAGGGCACAAATTGGGTTGAACGAGGCATTGTTGACCAACTTAACCCAACGATCATAACGCACGTTCGGTTTGTAGGAACAGTTTGTCTTCAACCCCGCACTGTAGATTTTGGCGAAGTGTTGAGCTGCCTTTTGCTGCTCTTCGTAAGGTATGAGGCAGTTTTCAAACGCCCCAACATACAGGATGTCCTTCTGTCTCTGTTCTATAATACCGGGGGCGACCTCATGAGCATCTATGCGACTGACACCGGACAGTATGATATTAGATGGGAATCTGCGGAGGAAGGGTTTCTCAATATTTAAGCCATTTTGTACAAGGACGATTACCGTGTGACCGGGCGAGATTGCAGGAGCGATAATTTCACACACAGTGGGCGAGGCATCGGGAACATTTTTTGTGCAGCACACGACGTAGTCAAAGGGTCGGACAGTGACCGAGTCCGCAACGCTGGGAACATTATTGAGGACTATTGCATCAAAAAGCTATGGTATTAGCGACAGCAAGGAACGGTCTTCAACTTAATGAAGGGTAAGGAGGTGTAGGCTAGGTTGAAGAATAGAGGGCTGACTGACTTTCAGATGGCCGCCAATTCTGGATTTCTCCGTGTTCACAAGACTTGATTGTAAATCCCAGGAGACTCACTGCCGCATAATTAGACCGCAAGACAGACGTGACCTGAGCCAGACCTCCAATCTCGAGATTCAAAGCAGCAATAGTACCAACGCCACCGCTACCAAGAAGTAGTACTTTTGACTTTGGAGACGCCATATATGCAGATCGGAAATTTGCCCAGCAAAATCAGCAGGTAAGGTAGCAAAACCATGGGAATTCAATGAATCTTCAAAGGTTAGGTCTCTTCCCATGAGCATCCATTTTAAATTTACCCTTCTTTCCTCGTAGGTCACTGCTGCTCACCTCAGCTGCACATGGTAACTATCCTGGGTAATGTGCAGCGGGTAGGGACGGATACTGCAGAGCTTCTTACCCGCGGTGAGGGCTCTGCTCGATACGCCGTGACTGGCCACAATCGCCGATACCACTTTCGAGCCACTTGAAACCGACATTTCTCAGTCTAAACTCTTCTCTGCTGCAAAGCTCTGGCTTCCATTCAGTGAGTGTTTAGCTCGCGCGCAAGAATCAAGAGGGGTTGAGGCGTGAACAAGAGGCTCGGGTACCGATACCCGGCTGCAATCGGTATTTTCAGTCGGACGCTTTTGTGACAGTTACCTGTTTCCTTTCATGATCTTTTCGTATTACCTAAGAAAAGGCAATCAGTGACCGGACCGGAGGCTAATTCTGTGTTTCTCGTCTGAGTGCATGATCAGTATTAAAGGCAACCCAGTTCGTCAAAGTTAATCTCCGGTATGGGTGGGTTTCCTACACGCATCAAAAACGCATTCAGGGGCTTAACCAAAGTGTCATCAGAATGGAAGTCGGCATCATTGGATGTGGAGTAATCGGGCTCACGTCGGCCCTTGCCCTTGTGCAGGCTGGTTACTCAGTGACGATCGTTGCTCGTGAACTACCCGGGGACGACTCGCTGAGATGGGCAAGTCCATGGTACGTATAACTACCGCCGAGAATGTGCGCCTGCTAATCCGAAGAAAACCAGGGCCGGCGCTGGCATCTTGCCTTACCCGGATAGTGCAGGACATGATCTACAAGCCGAAACGTTCAAGTACTATTGGGCTCTTGCCCATCGTGACCCTACCAGTGGTGTCCAAGTTCGTTTTCAATTTGCCTTTCATATACTATAGCTGGATATTACAGGGAGCTAATGACTGGGTCATTTTTTAGGTGACAGATGTGACCGAGTATTATGACGATCGAAGCGACGATGCTACGATTTGGTACAAGACCCTGGTACCAAAATATCGCCGTTTGCCATCAGAGAACCTCCCCGCCAATGCCAAGCTTGGTTTCCAATATAAATCAATGACAGTCAATCCAGCAGTTTTTCTACCCTGGATTAAGATACTTCTCGAAAGGGAGGGGGTAAAGTTCATTCGTGCAGAGATCGAATCGATAAACCACACTCGGTCTTTGTTGAAGACAGAGATCATTGTCAATGCATCTGGCTTGGGAGCTCGTGTTCTCGCCAATGACGAGAAAGTTGTTGCAGTCCGCGGCCAGACTATGTTGGTTGAAAGTGATTCCCATGAGATGGTGATGTTCCAAGGCTCCCACTACACGTATCAGATCCCCCGTATGTACAGTGGGGGTGTTATTATTGGTGGAGTTAGCCAAGAGGGGGTAACCGATGAGTCGGTAGATCTCGCAACCCGTGCGGATATACTACGACGAACAAACGTCATTACTCACGATCGCTTCAGGTCGCTGGATCTGAACAAGCATGTCATGAAAGACCTAGTGGGTCTACGGCCGAGCAGGAAAGGGGGATATCGACTTGAAAGGGAAGGCAGTGTCGTTCATGCCTACGGCTTCAATACTCTCGGATATACGTACAGCTATGGTGTGGCTCTGAAAGTCCAAGGATTGGTGACAGCAGCACTGGAAGAGAAGCGAAGCCAAAAGAGCAGGTTGTAGCAGTCCTCCACTATGCAGGGTAAAAAGTAGCTGCTCGGTTAACTGAACAGGTGGATGATCTGAGCTAGTGAGAATTGTTTCGATCTGTCGATTCACTAACTATTGTGACCAATTATTATTATTATTATTATTTCTGACAAGTAGTCTTTTTGAAGTCTGCGATCCCATAGCCTCCGAAGTTGGTAAGCGGACAAAACTCAATGACTGAATCGAAAGTAGGACTTAGCAGCAGTCAAATTCGGAATGCAAACATATTTCCTTTCCGCCCTTTCGACACATATACTACCAATTTCCCAGACACAACTCTGCGATGCATGCAGGAGAATCATGATGCTCGTTTGTCGTTGAAGATATAACCGTTCTCCACCTTGCCTTGTTTCCACGAGGACCCGTTCTCACTGTCCGCACCGAGAAGTACCATAAATGGTCGATTTTTTGGCTTCATGTATATGATTATTTCGGCAACACTCAGTTGTATGTGCATTTCGTCCTCGTAATCGCCTGAATCTTCGAGATAAACTCCTTCGGGGGCATCACGGTCCAGCTCAGAAGAACATTTCCCAGTACTTGTATGTGAATCTGGCAGAAAAGGCATTTTAAGTTTTGAGGCAAGAAATCCTGGATATTGCAATCACGTGTCTTGCGCTCAGGCCTCCAGGTTTTTCAATCTTTGTATTTTAGGTGAGGACAGTTTCAGTTGATATTTCAGGATCAGATCCAGATGAGAAGCGCCGCTGGAAAATATGGACGATTATCGGAAGGAGATATATAAAATAGAAAGTAGATTGATGAATACTTGACACAATTCAAACAGGATCAAACTCAGCAATAAGAATAATTAGTTCGCACGTAGTTTTATAATGGGGAGTGACTGTTACTTAACATATAACTATTACTCCACTGTTCTCATAAAACGAAGCTGTCTTACTTATATTACCTATATATTAACTCTTATAATAGTACCGTTCTACTAGACAGTCTCGCCCTCCTTAGATGCCAACTAGAACAATATATATAACAGATAGAGCAGCAGAAATTTTAGGTCGTAAGTCCGGCCCATGATGTACTACATGGTCAAAAAACCTGCTAAACTGGTCCATTGGCGTACTATCAACTACTAAAAGTATTCTTATTACCACACAGCTGAGATAAAGCATACAGAAATTAATACTGACTTTTAGAAGATATATCTATACTGTCCTGATATTGTCCTTATTGTGTATAATAGGCTGCACCATCCTTGCCTTCTCCAAATCAACAAGTATTATCTGGTAAACCTTTTACGGCTTCATACCGTGACTGGTCAATTATATATTCCACCAATAGAGCTGGGAAGTTAGATACTATTAAAAAACTAGAATAAATTACAGAATTCCTTTTGGTTCTACACAGCCCAACTTAACCCTAACTGAAAGATATATTGCTGCTTTATCTTGATAGAAAGTAAAGAGAAAGTAGCTATTCGAATATTCTTCTTACGCGCAGAACCGAGAGTGATAGATCAATTCCACCCGACAACCAAAGACTAGATGTTCCTTAGTCTGGCATTGGCAGAAAAGTGCATGATAGTTGCCAAGTCTTGCGGGCATTACAACATAACTGAACTTATGGCAGAGAGTGGTGACTGGTGTGAGAAACAGAGAACATATATGCTCTAGAAAAAACTGGAGCAATGCATTAGGATTGAGAGACAGCAGCTTTGAGCGCTGTTGGTCAGGCTTTTTCGGATAGTAATGTTTGTGTGAACAAGAACCGGCGGCGACAATTAGAGTTCCAAATAGAATAAGTTAGTATTTATCATTATTAGGCCTAGATATTAATATTATTTAATATACAGAATAATCGCACCTATCCAGCCAACAACTTAGAGTGGCAGGTACAGATGATATGATCGCTCAAATTCTGCATGTCCATGGACTAAGAGAGATGATTTCAACTAAGTTAGCTCGCATCAAATAAATAGCAGATCTAGGTAAAATCTTATGACGGCCAATATTTAAATCGCTCACTGTATACCAGGCTCATGAGGTGAATATATCTCTCCCGGTGGATGGTCTGACACAGGCAAGAAGAGTAATAGCTGCAGAAGCATTTTCTCTATGTTACGGCGTCAATTATGAAGGCTTTCCATTTAAACAGAAACTCTTTACCCAGGCCGGACTTCTTTTAATTTAGACAGGATGCTCGGGAGCCAATAAAAGATTCACCCATATCTGTAGGTATACGTTTTAGGTATCACCTTCCGTCCGGGATGCCGAAATGGCGACTACAAACCTTAATCCAGCTAGACTTTGGTGGACCCCAGAGCCACACTCCACTCTTGTCTCGCTCAGTCACCAGTAACGTGGACTATCGGGGTCCACTTTTCGAGCTCTCGTCACACCGTACGTGCCCCTTTATCCGGCTCGGGGTTTGTCGAGATTCCACAGGGCCCAGGGTTGAGTGATGGTGATGAGGTCTAGGCCCGTCGGTCCCGTTTACAAAACGGAAGCCTGCAAATCAAGTTCTAAAAGCCCTCACTTGGTTAAGCAATGCACAAGAAACACAAGCAGTAGGGTGGGATGGAGATGTTTGATTGCGACAGATTTATTTACCAGCGAATATTCCTACTTAGGTCATTGAAAGGGTCGGACCTTTGCCATCAGGCCAGAGTGTGGAATGGCTCAATGGAAACCCATACACCGTATGTTGGCCTGTCTGCAATCACGTAACCAAGCTTCTTACTCAAATGACTATCTAACCGAGAATAACGAGCATCAGTTCATATGCCAAATCCCATAACATCCATTGAACTCAAAGATACATGGAGCAGCCACATCAAGTGTCCCAACTGCCGGAATATTTTCTTCGCTTCGCGGCCAAGTCAGCATTGAAGTGTTTACAGGTATTGTGCTTGAGGGCCACAGCTAGCGAAATTGAGGATTCTCAGCATGACTTTGGCCCTGACAGTATCTCCATTCTGCGTATAAGTTTGGCCGTCTGCCGAGGGTATTATCGTTCGGTAGACATGGAACTCTTGGACAATAACAGATTACTTGACGATCATATTGAACGGCTCATGCACAACCTCGATGTTGACACGATATTAAAGTTGGCTCTCCTTACATGGCACTTCGACGCATCATCCCAAAGACCTTATGAAGAACTTCTCCGCTTTTTCTCGCAGCCAGATGAGGAATGTTCAGAGGTGTATATAAGGATATGCGAGAGATATAGCAATCATACTAGAAGGCGCGTGTCACAAGAAGAATTCAAAGAATAATTCTTAGAACTGCTTGGCTATCTTAGATATGTCCTTCAGGGCGAGTGGGGTGTGATATAGTGCATGTCACTGGCCGCATATTGGTAGCATAAGGGCGAGGGTGGGTAATCGAGTATAGGGTTCAGGATTTGCAGGGGCAATGGGCGGAGACACAGGTTAGATAACTAAGTATGCTGAATCTAGAAGATGAAATCAAGTTCAGAATCCCCGCAGTATTTGCGCTGGTAATAACAGCTGATATACTAGGAAAATAATAAAAACTTTTATTTTATAAATCCAAAAAATGGTTTTCTGTCTCTAAGTATCGGAGTCTCTCTATATAGTTTTTTTCTTTTTTTTCTTTCTATAATGATATCGCCCGGGCCTCAGCATTGTAGAGATAAAATTCTGCTATAACATTTAAATTATATAATGTTCAGTTAGGGATCCGGGTTCAAGAAAGAATTTCTGAGATAAAATTCACAGTTTTATTAGTTATAAAAGTGGATTGTTAGCTGTATAAATATTATGTTCCATTAGGCTTAATCTATATTTCAATTTTGATATCAGGAATAGTTAGAAATATAAAAGGCGCGAGTCGGCTGGGGCAGATCAGCGCAGTTCCATGATACGGTTTGGGGACTGCCAGAACTAGACATAATCCGGACCCTCGGTTTTGTCAGCAGAAGTCGTGCATTTCTGGTTCCAATGAAAGTCCCACACCACAACTTTGCAGAAAACTTCCGCATCCGTTGTGCAGTATGACCTGTCCGAAGTGTGAGTGAGTGAGTGTTGTTCTGCGTGGTCGAACACAGCGCTGTTCGCGTCCTAGAACGTAATATGTCCTCCCCATGCCCGAAGTCGGAAAGTATTGATCGCAACCGTCATCTCATGGGCTTGCTGAGCCTTCAGGCAGCAGCTGCGATTGCCTTGGCTCATGCGAGAAACTTTCTTTCCAGAACCCCGTCTGTCTGTCTGCAAATCACGACTGATGCAGGTTCCAGCCATAGCCGTACTCATTCCTTGACTGAGGCGGAAGTGTATGCTGACGATATGGCTGTATCATATGCACAACAGGATACCCAGCTAGTCTCCCTATTGGTATTACTGGCATCTACATCAGCTGATGTCCGGGCACGTAGGGTACTGGCTGCGGAGAATGGGATGCAAGGCCATCCACCGGTCCAGGACTGGTATTGCCAGTGTAGTATGCCTGTGCATAGAATTTAAACATCGGGCCCGGTTGAGCTCCGACAGGCGCGCTGTAGGTTACCTGCGACGGCGCGACAGTTATCGTGCTCGACAGTTGAACTTGGTTCTCGAACAGGTAAGACTCAGCCCGGTTCCCATAATTCGTCTTGGTTGATTCGCATGTTGAAGGGGACCAGGCTGTGCCGTAAGATTGCCACTCCGACCCTACCGATACATGACTGGACGTAGACAGGACTGACCCTGCTCTAGAAGCTTGACTTAATCCCAAAAGCTCAGCGAATTGCATGGCGGGGAGCATAGACTCGGGAGTATTACTATACGTTCCTTCTGCTCCTCACAGGAAACAACTGTCAGCCATTCAAGATTCTTCCCGTAGCTGTAGTAAAGGAATAAGATCTGCCACCCAATCATACCCAGATACCCTTGTCTGCTAGCCAGGGCGAGCTGATGCTTCAAGGCCCGAATCTCATGTTCCAGCGTCACATTCCGTCGGACGACATCATCAAATTGTTCCCTCTCGGCCTTCAACTTGGCCACTTGGTGCTCCAGCCGCTCAATATGCTCCCTGGTCCTCTGTCGAATGATTCTCTGGGCTTCCCGATCGTTGGCGCGCTTCCTCTCCAGTCGTTCGGCAGAGAGCGATGTCACTTTCCGCGCCTCAGCACGGGACGCGCGTTTTTTGGTCATCGGGGGCTTTGGAGGGATCATCATGCATAACAACTCGTATTTAGGAAGATGAGGAGAAGAGGGCAGCAAAAGAAAGTCGTTGCAGTTGACGGGCGTGAACGGTATAAGCAACCTGATGTATCCCAGGCGAGTGTGTTGATCACAGTGGTACACGATCCCACCTCCCAATATGCGACTATAGCTGTTCCAAGGGCGAGAATCGCGCTAAACTAGGTATATATATTAAGGGGGAGGACAGAGGCCGTCTTATAGGAACAAGGTGGGCGAGTAGATACGTCGGTAGACAGAGATTACTTACCTGAAATTATCTTCGTCAAGCGCTTTAAGGAGAAAGGATCAGGAAACTGCCCAGAACGGGCATAGCTGCTAGGGCCGATTCCAAGTCAGACACACTCAGACTGGCGCAGGCAATTTAGGCACGTACGGCGTAGGAGAATCTAGTCCTGGCTTGGTATCCAGATAGTCCCTGTCCTCTCGACAGCTTGGAGTCTCGAGCTCTCCAAATCTCATCAGTTATCAGTAGTAAACTAGCAGTAACACACAGTACACTTTCGTTACCAATCGTTGGTTTGAGGCCCGAAGTTGCGCCAAGGAGCAAATCCTTTGAGCAGGCAATCCCAGGAAGGGGGGTGGCAGCAGCACACGGCCTGGTGCAGTGCTTTCCTTCAGGTAGCTCTTACGATGGGTCTGCGGCGCAGCGCTATAAGCACCTTTCGACCCTCTTGATCTACAAGCATGCTCTAATTCGCAACTCGGGGGTTCCCCTCAAGACCCTAGACGGCTGGGACGGGTTGCGTGGTGGCAGCGTAGCAACAGTCAAGTACCGACACCGTTATGCCGGTTACCCCGAGAAACCAGAGAGAAAATTAATGGGTTGTTGTTGGTCCTGTAAGTCCTGGGACATATCCAGAATCCGAATCCGCATCTGGAGAAGCATCTCTCGTACGGTACTTAGTAGTACTGATGTCCACCCGGCGGATCATGGTCCTTTCGGCCACATCGCAGACCCGACTCAGTGGCGGATACGTTATTCATTAAGCGAACAAACGAAACACAGCAAAAACAGTGAGAAGTGAAAAAGGATTCCAAGGACGACCGACGCCACTCTGAGCACATACGGAAGCTTCATGGTGTTCTTTCTACCCCAGGAACAAGTAGATAATCCTTGGCACCAAGCCTGGGCTTAAACCGAAAGCAGAGTTCAGGCTGAGGGGAAGGCGACTGGGCGACAGTCAAAAACTGAAACTGGCAGTTGGAGGGCCGCTGCAGCGCAGGCGGGATGGGGCAATACCGAGAGCGACCAGTTTTGACCGTAAGGGTGAGAACGCCCCAGAGGCCAAGCGGAGTTGAAGGAGTGAGACAAAGTACGACGGTATGAACACCATTCAGCCAGTGATCTGCGTAGTAGAGGAAATTTACCCGAGCGCCCTGCTGAAAGAAGGCTAGAAAGGGATCCGTTCACTTAAGTGCATGTCTACTCTGATTGGTATGTCAGATGTGCCATCCTGCGTAATAATACGGTTTTCCCTTTCCGGATAAGGACCCGAAAGTCTATTTACCCTTAGTATTATTGGCGTGACGGACTTGCAGCTGGTCTGCACCTCAAGCAAACGAGAAAGGCAGAATAGAATAAATGCAAGAAAAAATCATCATAGGCCAGCCCGGGTGCTGCGGAAAGAATACACTAAATTAGCTGAAAGCCATTTCACTTGGACTCTCTATGATACTGCCCCTGCACTTGGCCCGCTCGATTGGGTTTCCTTATCTTGTTATTATTTTGCCTACTGAGCCTGGGCACTGCAAACAAGCAATCATCACTGAGGGACTACAGAACGGTGTTCTTCCCTTATTATTGCCATCTAAACCCCTATTGATCAGAGTTCCCCTAATCACGCGTTGCTATAACGAACTCGACTTCTTGCTGCGCGACTGGAAATGAAGGCCTTGCGAGCCTTCATTAAAATAAACAATGTCTCTTGAGACTCCAGCGTTCTCCAGCCGGCATGTTCGTCTTTCCTCTCACGCAAACCTTGAAGAGGGGCCCATGGCGTACTATTTAGTTTGCCGGTTTTATTGGTCCATCCCGACGAAAGATGATTTAACGCCTCTCCCACAGGGGAATTTTTACGCGAAAGTTATTCCGATTATGAGTCAAGCGAAATGTGTGGAGGGTCGTCATTGCTAAGGTTTTCTGCCTAGTGTAACCGCGTCTACTAGCCAACTAAGTCTAACATGACACTGTGGCCTTCTTACGCACGTATGTGACTATGTCATGCCATAAGAGACCAAATGTCGTTATCTCTCGAGAAACCAAGTGGGAGTCGAAATGCGGGCACGGCAAGTGAGCCCGACGATATTGGGTAATACCGAACCCAGCAACAATGGGAAAAGATTAGGATGTTAGCTTCACGTTGTCCGAGGCAGTGACCGCAAACACTGTTCGGGCAACTCGGTCACTGCACACAACTGGCGATGGTGTCGAATGCTGTCTGGCCGATTTAGCTTCTCTATCTCTAGGCGCATCACTACGGAACTATAGGGTGGTGATGACTTCAGTCAGTTTCATGTAAGCCGATTGTGGCACGACAAGGTTGGATTCTGGGAAAGAAGAAGGCTAAAGTGAGAAAAGTAGCATTGATGTCTCGAAATGGTGAAGCAGAAGTAGCGCTTCCAGGTATTCTGAGAGGAAATGAGGCATGTACAATAGATGGCTGCGTCGCACGGACGCCGCAGTCATTGTGCATGACGCTACATACAGCCCGTGCACGTGCGAGCTTCATATTATAAGGAATACTTATATCTTTTGATTCCCGGTGGCGCTTGTAGTTCATTCTTCATATATCACTTGCTCGTAAAATTGGCAGCTAGCTTGAAATAGGAGGTGGCTCAATCCTGCGTCAATGTCGAACACTCCAAGTTATAGTGGCGGAAGCTACTCTGAATCCAGCCAATAAGTATGCAACACAATGCCTAAGAAACATACATGTGCTCAGTCGTCATTATTATACTAACGGGGTTTTACATTTTTCATACAAAACAGATGGGGCGGCTTTCACCCACTACCGCGCCCATGGGGAACTACAATGGTATGTTACCTTCTTATTTTCGATATTGTACTGCGTAGCGTTTATGATAAACCAGGGGTCCATCAATACAGGCATGATAACTAGGTAATAATAAGCCCCTGCGCTTCGTTAGTAATTCGATAGCAGCAGAACACTTGATCAACTTCCAATAATATTTGCTCGAGTCGTCCCCTATTCTATTCGTCACTACTTATATGGTCGTTAGCCACTCCTGGCCACCAACTTGGTACTGTACGTGGGGTCGAAATCTTATATTCCCTCTGATCTGGTCGTCCTAACTTTAACATGAGGGCCTATATTAAGGTTGCAATAATGCCTTTTATGAAATTGGACGGCGTCGGCCATTTACTACACTTCTTTTGTGTGCCACACGAACGTTCAGGCTTTTATAGGAACCAAGCCCCTCTCTGACGCACTACTACCTCTGCTTTGGCAGAGCACAACTCGCTGGCGCTCAGGATTGGCTTTTCACACTACATCAAACACCTTAGACCTGGTTCTCATTAGCTTGCGAATGGGATTAACGAGAGCCTGAGCATGGACCTGAGCATGTTTATGGAAAAATTGTACACTTGGACTGAGCAGAGATGGGCAGGTTAGCAAAAGATATCATTGGAACCTCCGATAACCTCTCTAACACAGTTCCAGACAATGCCGATTCCAAAGAACAAATCTTTATTTCACCCTCCGCTGTGGACAAAATGCCTCGAGGAATCACGCTGGCTAGCTCCCTCGACTGACCGCGTAAGAACGGAAGGAACTTTGACACCTGTGAACCGTGAATGAACATTTTGCATCTAGTATGAAGTGGACGGCATATACAGGCCACAGGATCTGGGCCACTACACGTTCGGTGATATGGCAGCTTTACGTATAAGTCTTATATGTGGGCACTCCTGCCACGGGGGTTGCTGCTCCCGCTGCTAGTCAGTGTAGCAGATCTGCGCACACCCCCAGTCTGCCCACCAACGGAAACTTCACGACGGCATATTTTACCAGCCAATGACAGTAGATATAAAAATGCCATCATTCATAGCAGACGACAGGCTGCAAATGAGGAGGGTCGAAATGAGAAGGTCCCTCATCACCAGCTGCAACCCTTTGCGGAACATGGTTTTCCTGGTGTTAGCTCGGACACCTCACTTTAGAAGGCTTCAGCGAGCAGATTATGATGATAATTTGGAATACTTAAGTATCTATGGTAGGTAACAGTAACAAATTGGGGCGATTTGTTGAAGGGGGAAACGGGAATGCGGTGAGATCCTTAATCATGTTCCTCTTGCTGATCATGCTTCTGATCCTACTATCTTATTAGAGTACTGTTATCTGTTCACCACAAACATTCTTCGGTCGATGTTGACGTATGTGACAATCAGAGTCAGAATCCTCTTCATTGTCTAGCTAGCTCTGAACTGTCAGTTTCAGTTGCATCCCAAATGAGCAGAAGCTTATTGCTTAATTATGCGGTTGCCCTTCATCCAGTGCTGGGCTGCTGCAAGACACGGATCATACTCGAACGAGGGATCTACGGAGCAGACCTGGGGCGATTAGAGAGACCTTACAAAAGACAACGATGACGGCCCACCGGGGGAAAGCGACGCATCACGTGGGTAGTATGTGAAGGCATTCCCGGCCAGGCAGGGCTCTCGGTAACACTGTCGCAAGAGTCCCCTTGTGTCCCATCCCATGTATTGCTGGGGCACGGTCGGAGCACGACCCGATCAGCCCGTCAACTAGCTGCCTTACTTTGGAAATGCCACGGGAACTCAAGGCTCGGAGCCGGTCCTGCGCCTGCTCCAGGGAACTCTCACTAACAACTTGAAGATATCCAATGGGCCTCGAATGGCACATAAATCCATAATATATATTTACTCTTTAGAGGGCCTTCCGGTATAACAGACTTGGCTGGAGGTCTGAAATCTACTGGCACTTTATTCCAAGTAAACTTATCAAGAATCTGGACTAATATACATAGATTTCAAGAATGCTGTTTTGTCCATGATACATATTATATAATAACTAATTAAATGGATATATTATAGCCCTTACTACCTCTATCTTTATAACAGGACTAGACTACTTGGTAACCCATAGCCTGTCCTTAAGCCACAAAAGAAAGTGCAGGACTTGAAGGCAGATGCACAGGAGAGCACAAGGTATCTGCTACGACCAACGTCTCATTTTGATTACACTCTCGGGTTTTCCTCTCCGGCAAGCAAAAGGCCCCTGAAGGCACGGCATCCCTGATGGCCACGTGATAAATCCGTTCGCGGGGGTCGACGATATTTGTGGCCCCGAAATCCAAGTCGACTCATGGTGGGATTGCATCTGATATTGATGATCGTGGTGCGGACCAGCCAGCGTACCAGCAACATGTCGAACGCCGGTGAATGACGGATCCAAAAGGGCTGGCTGATCGTCCAACCACGGGCGCACGAAGCCACCAGCAGATCAAGATGTAACATTTCGTCCATCGAACGGCGGAGAAGAATCAAAAGTATAAAACCCGCCGAGCCATGGGAATTCAGTCAATAGATATCACCTCCCGAGCTGGAAATAGCCCATGAGGAACTAGCGGCCGCCTTTCCAACCTTTTAGGTTTTGGCTTGGTGGCGACGACCACCACATTCGTATATTAACCCGGCAGCACCGCGGTGGTAATCTCATTTGGCGAATGCCCTTTCTAAAATGGGACCTGATATGGAATTCCTACCCGCGCCGTCGCCTCTTCTTGCAAGATTGACTTATACAGCTGGCAGTGCAGGATGACTTCCGAAGAGAATCGTCACTGGAGAAATGTGCTGACTATCGTGCCCATCGTCGGCACCGCCCTGGCAACCCTGTCCTATGTTCTACGGCTTTACTCCCGTCGCTTCACAACCGCTGGGCTGAAATTGGAGGACTGGTTGATGGGCGCTGGGTTGCTTCTGTCGTACTGCGCTACTGCCTTTGTCGTAAACAGTGAGTCGGCGCGACCCCTCCAGGCCAGATGGCTGGCACGCCGGGCATACTAACATTCCTCGGCAGCTGCATTCAATGGCGTTGGCTTGCCAGTCGGTGATCTGCCTCCAGACGAACGGCGACGAGTTCAATTTGTACGTTTCTACGCCCCGCGAACTCTCCACGAAACCTTCCGCTGATATGATATGATTTCTGCAGGCGTCATGGATGATCCAGAAATTTTGGGCGCCGTCCGCCGCGTTTATAAAGATCTCCATTATCGTGTTCCTGAAGCGGCTGCTCGGAACCGTACGCGCGTACGCCATTATCTCGAATATCCTGATTATATTCATTAGCTGTTGAGCCCTCACAGCTCTTCTTGTCAACATTTTTCAGTGCCGCCCCGTTCAGTACTATTACAACAAGGAGCTGCGTGGACATTGTATGAGTGGACAGCGACAGTTTTTCCAGACAATGGGAGCCATTTCCTTGATAGAGGATATTATTATTTTATGTTTGCCTATACCTATTATATGGGGATTACATATCACCTTTCGACAGAAGTTTGCAGTGATACTCCTGTTTTCTCTGGGTGGCCTGTAGGTTTTCCATGTTGGTGTGTAGGGGAATAGTGCTAACTGCTCGACAGGGTCTGTATATTCAGTTTAATGCGCCTGATTGAATTCCGCACGTTTATTACTACTGATTTAGCTTGTGAGTAACTAATCTTTGTAGTACTTTTGGTTCTATTGACTAAACGGCACAGCATCTAGTGCCAAGGAATCTATCTGGACCTGTCTCGAACTTGATATCGCTGTGATCTGCGGTTGTCTTCCGCTGATGAAGCCTCTCATCCAGGGCTTCCTGGGCAAGGTCCGAAGTAGGGTTTCTAAAGCCCGTTCCCATCCATCATCCAGCACGAAGCCGTACTACCCTTCGAGCGCCACACACAATAATGATGGTTTTCGACAACTTGATGACGTGTTGGATTCTCAGGCCTCCAAGAATCCTAATGTTATAGCCGGTTCCAGTCGATGGAGCTCGGATGTTGAACTGCAAGGCATCGTGGTGCGCACATGGATTGAGCAGGATGTTGACCGCCCGCACACGGTAGACTCGAACGAGACCAACCATGGGCATGTGTTGCCTTGATAACTGTAACTGCAGCATGTCAATCCATACTAAATCTACTATGGATCTTCGCAGCTACATATAGCTATCCGCAGTGGTGGACAGAAGCCTCGATGGCGCGACCACCGTGCTCGGTACATTACTCATGAAAGCCGTCGCTGTCTTGGGCGTCACGATTCCTCGTAGGAGGTCCCTTTCTGCCCACTCGGCCTACTTCGTATGCTGGTTGACCTATGGCTCGCGTTTGCTTCTGTTTGGCAAATCAGATCATACGAGATAAATGAGGGGCGTGAGAAGTGGTTGCTGAAGCCTACTCCGCACCTGGAGGGGATGTCAACGCCCAGGTACGAATAACTGGGTGTCTCCACGACCCTGGGACGTATACGTATAGATCGATATAGTCCACCTAATGCCATCATTCGGATAATTGAAACGATTACGCCTTTCCGCACAGGAGTTTATGTTCATGAAAGGGCCTGGTTTCGTTCCGCGGGAATAAACCTGCAGAGACTCCACAATGCTAGCAGGGTTCGCACCAGTGCGAAACCCTTGATTATACCCTCCATCTGCCCGAGGTTCTCGAAACCTGGAAGAACACCCCACCGTCTGGGATCTGCCGGCGAGATGCCTGTTGCGCCGATCTGCGCCTCCGAGTGTTAAGGGCAGGCTAATTCCGCAGTGGCAACCTGCCATTATCGGGTCCTGATGTACTTTATGCAATAACGTAATCCACAATCGCGCGAACCATCCTGTAATGCCATATAAGAGATAGCTTTTCTATACATCATATCTCAACAGTTACATGAATGTTACGAACCCCCGTTAGTTAACTTACTAGCGAGGCGGACACGCCAGGCAGAAGGCGCCGGTAACGACTTCGCCTGATCAAATGAGCAATCTAGCTACGGCAGAACTACAATCTGCCAGGAGACGGCCCAGAACGGCTACGCGGCACTATTCGGCTCTACTTCTCTTCTCTCGTCCAGGACCAGTTGTTCCCTAGATAGTTATGGACTTGATACCCCTCGACCCAGTTCGAGGGCACGTATACTAGTGAAGCTAAGCTAACAGGGACAGGGAAGCGATCCAAGGGTTTGACACATTGAGCACCAGTCAGTACGAGTGTTCGACGACACTACGCTGCAACCCATGTCGCAAGCCTCTGCAATCAAGCAAAAGACTCCTCCCAGGAAGGATGACTGCGACTCAGAAGATTAGAGGGAAATCCGCATGCTGAAAGCACAAACCCTTGAACTGAAGAGTTACATTGAACGAATCGCCGGACACACTAGGATACGGGGCAAGGAGGTCGATGACCACCTTGGTCAGCTGGAAGCTCAGGTAGTAGCATCCGCACCGGCCTGCACGGCAACCGGTTTGAAGTTACTCAAAGTAGAGCTATTCGTCGGGGCTAGGTCGAAGCTCAGAGGATTTTTTAACTCAGATAAACATGTATCTCGGTATCAATAAAGTTGAAGTTCAGTAACAAAGCAGACAAGGTCATCTTTGGATCCAGTCACCTACGATGATAAGCATGGAACTGGTTTGGACCGTACATCCGAGAATATTATCAGAACCAAAGGAGCAGTGGAGTATCATCACGGTCAACATTTTCAGAGGCTATGACAACTTCCGACACAATCTTGAACGAACTTTAGGAGACATCGATTCAGAAGCAGCGGCAGAGAGACGACTCAGGCGACTCAGACAACTCATCACAGCGTCGGCATATGTATCGGAGTTTTACCAGATCATCTCGAGCATGAACTGGAACGAGACGGCGTACATTTCGGCCCTCATCAGCGGACTAAAGGTTCACGTCAAGGATGAGATGACGCGGATGGAACGACCAGAGACCTTAGCTGAGGTCGCAGAGTTAGCAGTCAAGATGGACAATCGATACTTCGAACGACAACTGGAACGAAAAGAGGTTGATGTCTGGAGACGAGGCAGTACAAGACCTCAAGGGCAGTCCAATACGAGCAAGCCACGAAGCGATCTAGGGTTTGACACTGTGGTGGTGCCTTAATAGTGTTAAGCACTTAACACCAAATTTTTTATGATAGCTATATAACTAATTGGCTCTCCTGGTTCCAAGGAACTGATTGCATATTGTATAAGCTACAAGTACATTTGGGGTTGGAGGCAGTGGTCTAATTCTGTTAACCGACACGTGATTTATGAAATGGCTGCCGTCGGAACTTTTGCCGTGTAGGACAATCCGGTAACGGACACAGTCACTCACCTCGGCAATATTGCCTCTTCTACGGTGCTCCGTAGCTGGCGTAATTCCCAATTTCTCCAACTTCCATTGCTGGTAACAACATTCGGACCACTCGACAATTTCCTCACTAGATTGCTCCTGTCACAATTGCAACAAAGCCGACATGCGTTCGGCTGGTAAATCGGGTCGTTTTCCGCATGTCAAATTTGGAAAGTCTCCTAATACTGTCACGGTGTCACTTGTAGGCAGTGCAAGGTCAAGTGTGATGAAATTAAACCTGTCTGCGGGCCATGTGCTAGAACAACCCGTGTTTGCACATTCACGTCCAGTCCCATCGTCCCATCTTTCGCCACTTTGACAGTCAAAATGGCCAAAAGGAGACTAGGAAGTTTGGCCAACAGCAACGTTGGCCCTCTGATGAGTATCCACTCTTTCGGTCGGAGAATACTTGGGTCAAGGTACCACCATCCCGTCGTAAATTGCTCCACATCCTGCTATCCCCCCGCTTAAAAAAAGAAGGGCCGGAGTTGACACGGTATAGTCACATTTGTCGAAGTGTCCAGCCCCTTCGTGGACACTGGAACCAGTTCATTAGACGATGCAACAGCCCATTCTCCTGCCTTGCCCAGTCCCTCCATTACAGATGAACATGGGTTGGCCGAATATACGTCCCTCCCAGTTCCAGAATGTGATAAAGCTTCCTCAGCTGGTGGGAACACCGCAGAAGGGGGAACCGGTGTTCTCATCGCACAGCTACTACATTACTTCACGAAATCTCCCGCGCAATGGTAATCCCGTTACAAACTGCATTTAACTCCCTCTAAACGTATGGCTAGGATGGGCTTCTTCGACTCGAGCGCGCACTTCTCGATTAAAGCGCCTGTGATGGCGGCGATGGGAACGATGTTATCAAGTGTCATGACATCCACCTTAGCCTTCCTCACTACTCCGTTCTCTGCTCTTTGCTGACTAGACATAGTCATTAGTGAGACCCAGACTCGGTTAGATCTTTACAATTTCGAACTTTGGCGATATTTCGGCCTCTCCATAAACACCTACAGACTGCTATTATCACATCCTCCCGGGAATTAATTTAACACAGATCATACGTCGCTTGAAGTTGAACTTTCTCACTTTCGGCGATAGCTTGAACCCCGGCGACCAGGCCACAGCGCACGAATTGGGGCGACCCAGGACCTACTTGAAAGGTGGAAGGGACTGAAAGTCCAGTTGCAGACTTGGAACAGCTACCTGCCTCCCAACTTTACAGGATGTGCCCGGAGAACTATAGATCGGTCCGGTCTAACATTGGGCATGAGTGCCTATACTGAAACCCTCGATGCCACTTCATATACTATCCCGATGTGTGCTGAGACAATGCAGACCTACCATATGGCCCGCATTCTTCTGTTAATGGACAAACCACAGGAGCCTCAGCGTATTCGTGTTCTTCACTTCCCTGGCGACAGGCAAGGTAGGTAGGAAGGCATGCTGCGCATGGGATTATCTAAGCGAAAAAGGAGGGATAAGAAGTAACATACGAGCGTAGTCCGAAGCAGTATAGAAGCATCCAGTGCCACCACTATGAAAGAATGATTTATTATCTGTTTCTGTCTGTATCACCGTCAACCCCTGTGGAGTAGGTGATCCCTTATCGTGATCCTGCCATCAGGCGTCCGTTGATGCATGTATTCCAACTTAGCCTTCATTTCCATCGATGGAATCATCGAAGTATTAGTTAATCTAAGCGGACGAAAAATATTCTCTTCCATATTAGTGGTCCAGTCTCTGGCCTGTCAGCAGTTCGAGGACGATACCAGCCCGGTCCATGCTGATCTGAATGATATCGTTAGGGACGTGCAGGACGATAGAAAGTGTATATATCTTGCAGTGCACAACAGGTCAAGAAGAAAGAAGTAAAAAAGAAGAAAAAAACAGGACGTGCACCATACTCGAACACGTCCCCCGGCTGTTTAACTAACGGTTGCATGAAGTCCACAAAACAGCCCGAGAACTCATCATACCCTGCTGGTCGACCGTAGTCCCGTAAGGCGTGATTCGAAAACGAGTATCCGAAGCCAGCTGCGCTATCACTATCAGCATCCTTCCCTTTTCACACTCCTGCAACTATTAGGTAGTTTTCGCGGTGTAGGTGATGTTGACAAACCAGTATGAGTAAGAAGCATCCTCAACGTAATCCCCCTCTTCTTCTCCAAAAGCTCCCCACCACGTAAGACACGCACATCCTTCAATTCTGGACAAAGCCGCTCTACCACTTCCGCATCATCAAGAGAGATATGTCCGCGCTCAACAAGTTGCATGCAGCAGATAGCCGTGATGAGTTTCGTGCATGATGCAATCCAGAACACGTCCCTTGGCTGAACCTGTGCAATCGGTTGTGTTTTACAGTTTAAATGCAATAAGAACCGTTTCAATCGTGACTTATTATTTCAATCGCGACCTGATCCGTTGCCCCACGTGAACTGTGTGCCGAATTGTTTATTCGATCAGTCTTGCCCCTTCGAACATTCTTATTATTTTGTACCAGCATCAACGCCTCAGTCTATCATATTTCATGTTCTGTTGCCAATTTCGATGAACATACCATGGCCATCACTGTGATCAGTTGATTGGTTGCCGCTCATACCGAACACTATTTAGCTAGGCACTCCGCTCCACAAGAGGCCTGCGGGTGAAGAGCGGCTACAGAAACAGCGTTGAGCCTTTTATCAGGTACCGGCCGAACTTGCTTTTGAGACTGTAAGCGTTGATACTTCTTATATCAGGTTTATAAAATAAGAGAATCAGAAGTCAAATCATGATCAGATGATAGGCTTCGCATGGAAGGTAGTAGGTGGAAAACATGTTTATCAGATATACAGATTCTCGCTCTACGCTGTTGCTTCCTCTTTGATAGGCACAACATGTGTTATGCAGTGGCAGAAATGTATTAGTCCTCATGATTTCATTACATTCAACTTGAGTAACCTTGTCGCTCGTTATTGGTACCATGAACGTTGGTCTGGTAGGTGACAAGAACAACTATTTAGGCGTTGTAGTTATCGACCGGCTCTGGCCGGTGTCGCCGCCGGAGGGGCTTAAGCAGATTGCTTGTGTTCAGCGCAACCAGCTTACTTGTCGGCATTAGAAACAACTCGTCGATCTCCTCCAATGTTTTGTCTTTGGTCTCGGGCATAAAGAACAGCTGGTAAAAGAAGCCTAGCGCGGCCAAGCCGCCGAAGAAACCGATTGTCAGGCCGGTGTAGGTCATCGCTTTCTGCATCCCTTCGAAGTTGTATGTCACAATGAATGACCACAGATAAAGGAATACAGAGCAGATCGCCATGCCCTGGCTGCGGGTGTTGAAACTAAAGCTCTCCGCTGGCACTACCCAGGTCAGGCACGAATATGCCCCGAAGAACGCCATGTACAGCACCAGACCGGAGAAAAACAACCCCAAGGCCGTTGCCTTATGCTCATTGAAATAATCAACACCATTGTTCGTGTATAGGTAGCCGACGCCCACCAGCGCCAGACCCACGATGAACATCAGGATGTTTTGCGCCCACACCCGGCGCCCAAACTTGTCCATCGTGAACACAGCAGGAATTGTTCCCAGGAACAACGCGCCACCGCCCACCATCGACATCAGCACTGACTCGCGGTCATCAAAGTTCATCTTGGCCATCAAGTTTGACATATTGTACATGACCGCATTGATGCCCGTCATCTGCCCGAAAAATATCATAGCCGTGGCATATACAAGCGCCCGTCGGTTGCGCGGCGTCCTGCACACCTCCAGATACCTCTGATGCCATTTCACGTTCGCGGACTGGTCGACATCATGTTTGACTGTAACTTCCATCGCAAGGTACTCGTCCAGGCTTTTGGGGTCGGCCATGTCGCGCAGCGACTTCCACACCCGCCACGCGCGCCCGTACTTGCCCTTGGATGCCAGCCAGCGCGGTGATTCTGGCAGGAAGGCCATCCCAACCAGGAGGATCGTCGAAAACAAGAGAGACGAGCCCAGCATCCAGCGCCAGCTGCCTGACGGGACGTCAAAGAATACGCCGCCGGCGGCGTATCCGATGATCTCTCCGAATGCGATCATCAGCTGGTATACCGACACCAGGTTGCCACGCACCTCTGGCGGCACACACTCGGAGATGTAGATACCGACACAGCCGCCTTCGATTCCGATACCGATGCCCAGAATGAAGCGGCCCGCAAACAGCATCCCCACACTACGGGAGCCCGCACAAAGTCCACTGCCCAGTGTGTACCACAAACACGAGATGATAATCGAGTTGCGGCGTCCAAAGTAGAAGTTCAGCGGCGTCATGATGAGCGCGCCGGCCATGGCGCCCAGCGGCATCAGTGACGAAATCAGTGAAATGTCGGTCGCCAGTTTCGGGTCGTCCATGCTCGCCCACTCGCCTGACGCGATGAAATGCTTGCGGATACCAGGCAGGGCGCCCGAGATCACCGACTGGTCTAACCCACTCAGCATGCCGCTGAACGCCGCGAACACGCCCAGTGTGATGACTAGCATGCGAGGGCTCCTCATGTGCACTGGTATCTGCGCGAACGCTATCCGGTCATACAATGGTTCGTTGTCGAGATACTGATTGCTTTGCAGATCGCGTGCCTCGATCTCGTGCTCACGCTCCTCGGGCGTGAGTTCATCGCTGAACTCTTTGCCAATGGCGTCAGGCTTTTCCTCATAATTATCGCCCATTTCGAGTTTGTCGAATCAATATGATAAAAGGATTATGTGTGGTCAGGGTGGAAGAAAAATAGTCAGACGACCCCAATGCCCTCTATATAATAATGCCTGTTTAGCCGGGAAGGTTGTCTGCGGATTATTGTACTCCGTACCATTATTGTCCCTCTCTCCAATCCCCGGCCTCCATGTCCCAGACCCCACTTCCTCGACCCCACAAGTCCCCAGAGTATCCGACAATCAAGTCTTTTCTTTCTCTTCTGGACCCAAACGCGGTTGCATCAAGGTGTATCAGGTTTGTATTATTATGGGGTGATGTGAATAAGAAAAGCAACGCGCCTAACGACTATCAAATCCAACCCACGCCATGGAGAAAAGGTTCTTTTAATCGCAGCGAGCGTGAAAGGCTCGACGTCAAGGGTTCTTGAACAGCTAACAGAAGTCGGGTCGTTAGAAATACAGGACCCCCGGAAACCCTCAAGGCCAAACATGCCTAACTTGATTGAGTAGTAGCAAGTGAGCGACGCCCCCAATACTCTGAGTCCGTTTAGCAAAGAAACTTCCATGCCCTTCCCCGCTCGGAAGGAACGTGCACGGGCAAAGTTTTACGGGCTCACACCCAATTGCCAAGTCGGACGGCTCAGCAGGACCGGGGTTGACTGGGACCCGAGTAATTTTCTCCGGAGACTGCCCGGTCGGAACTGGTAGCACACTAAGTACTCCGTACTCTGCCACAATATGTAATGGTTAGACTACTCGAAGCATTTGAGAAATACTAGGCGATACCTTCGTACATTAGGTGTGCCTCCCATGGGGTCAAAACGACTGGGCGTTTCTCGGTCGTATTCAAGTTTCTCGAAGATCCCTAGGCCTAGAGAAAAGCGAAGATTTAGATTAGCAAAAGGGATCTCGAGTATGACGTTGTTGCAAAGAATCCCGCGTGAGTTCATTCCACAGCAGCTCAATTTCATTCTTGCGGAGAGCGTCAATATGTCCGCGAGGCAATAATACGTAATTCGGCCCGTATCGCCAGCAGCCCATTGCCCCGGACCAGACAACCCTTCTCCACGGGGTGTCTCAGCACCCTATGCGCGATTAATCTCGCAGCGACGGTACTTCCCCGGGGGGAGAGGTGGCGAAGGGTCTAACTTGCGTCGTAATCTCTCTCGTACCTACTTCGGGGCCCCACTTGCTAGGCTTCTGTAAAGTCAGTTGAGTTCTCGGCTAACCGTGTTCAATCCCGCTTTGTTTGGGCCCTTCTTCGGGCTTCCTCCGCGTGAGGAAGCTGGGTAAAGCACCGATATTTCTCCGGAAGTTGTTGGTGCCTAGACTTCCTCATTTTGCTTTTTCGGATGCCGTACGGGTACCTACCAACCCGCCAGGGATCCATGAGCACATATAACCGAAACGACAGACGTAGTAATACAGACGATAGTTCATATAGTTGTCTGAGTCGCGTTCGCAGCGACCTTAGGCCGCTACCACGTGGCGCAGTGTAGGATATAGCATGGAGCTTATTCACAGTCAGAAAGGTAGTAACAATTCGTGACAAACTACATTAAGAGTCACTTGATCTATTTTATTTGTGTCTCGGAGAATGGTACGAATGTCTACGGCAGACCGGACGCGGGATAAGCTAGTTAAAGTTGGCCGTGTGCAAAACACCGGCAGGGTTAGGTCTAAAAAAATGCGGTCCGGGATGATTCCCTGGCAGCGGTTGAAGGTAGTGGCAGAAGCTAGTCTAGAAGTAGGGCAAGCTATCGTCGTTACGCCGTCCAATTCGCACAGTGAGGCCGGATGGGGCCGGAACTCGATGTGATTCGCGGTATAGGGAAAATTTTGGCAACTGGGTAGTATTCGGCGTGTATGCTCGCTGTAATAACTGCGCCTGCACCACATGATTTTATTTATCTTGACGGGTTCTAGGTCAGGCGGCGAAACCCAACCCAACTCGCGCTTTTGACGAGGTCAAGATTTCGCCACCCAAACCTAATAGTAAAATCCCTGAGAAGAAAAGGGAATATACTGATCAGATATAGCAGCCTTTTCAGCGACTTAGCATCTTGCTAAGCCGTTGCCGGCTTGGATTTCCCAGGTTTAATTTGCCGTCCTACAGTAGTGCTTGTGCCTGAGACACGAACCTACATGGCTTTAAGAAGTTTCAAGAACACCCGAATCCGAATTACTAGTTCATTTAGCCCCATGCTGCCGTTGGTCAACTTGCGGGGTGAGAGTTTGAGTTTCCCCGAAGAAACTCGCCGGTGCTTCGATATCGGTGCTGCTGAATCCATTGTCGGGACCGTTTGGCTGATTAGGCCTTTTCAACATCCTCCAGAGCCAACTCTGAATGCTTCGTATCTTCATTGGCTAGTCTCATGTCATGTACTTCAGAAACAGAGAGCATTCCCAGTGCGGAACGGTAACAAGGGCTCTTCCAGGCCCTCAGTTCATTTTCGTATAGCTTATTGATCAATACTTGAATTCAGTGAGCCAGTAGAGCATAGTCTGAATACCCGTGATGGTCCCAGTGTCGTGGCCATACAGAATACTGCCAGAGGACGCGAACAAACCTACCCAGATGGCTGGCGACGCAGCCCCCTTTTCATTGGGGGAACATTTGAATAATATAGCCGTCGCTTAAGCAGTTCATCGAATTCATGATTGTCCCACAAAGCAGTGAGAGATCCTTCCCATGTATAACAAGATATTGAGGACTGCAACAGTGTGCGCAGCGGGATAGCAGTCCTTGCTAAGCACTTGGGATCCCGACTGTGCTAACCTGCCTGCCGACAATCAAAGTATGGACTTGACGGGAGTGACCACCCAAAACGCAATCCAAGCCCGGATTGGGCAGAGTCGGCCTGGTCGCCAAGACGGTCCGTGTGGGGTTGAATGACACACTCCAAACCTTCCAAAGAGAAAAACGCAAAAGGGCACAGTGGGGTAGTCTTCGTTGGGAGAGTGGCAATCGCGTAAGAGCCCCTCCAATGGACCTTGCCCCTAGATACCATCCAGGCTTTTCGGAGCGACCAGGGAAATTGTGTGGAGCCTGCTTTGGGCACAAAATCAATTTGGGGCCAAGTAGATGGCAGGTGTTGAACACTAAACCGACTTGATGATCTTTTGGGATCTGAATGCGCCACTAAATACATCTATTCCGTCGCCCCATGATACGGTGCATTTGGGCGGATACAAAAAATGCAACCAATTTATTGCATCATTCAGTTGCGATACGTGCGAAGTCAATTGACCTCTGCATTGTACGAGACGCGACGCTTCCCCGTGGAGAGAATCTCCACACACGCACGGGGGAAAGAGTTTCCAGGCCCCGCGAAAAAGCTTCTTGGCCAGTCTGCTTTAGTCTTGGCCACGGTCTGGCTTGGTTCACATGGACCAATCAAACTCGAGAGACGCCTGAACCGGAACATGGCGGTCTTGGCAATCCGCCGATCCAGGACTCGCCGTGGAAGTTCGCAATGGAAGTTGGCAAATGGAAGTCCCGGTATACAAGAACCAGGAATTAAAGAATTGTTTACCCTATCGCCATAAGAGACCTAGAACGCCAGCGGCTAGAGTGCAACAATTTAACGATCGGAATACTAGCAAAGTGGAGTTGCCCGGCAAGCAACAGGTGGCAACAGATGGCAACCACCAAAAGTTGAGACTGAGTTGATCTTCATGCTCCTCTGTGAATTATCAGGGAATTCCGTGCTATTCAGGAATGGGGAGTGCGGAGACAGCCAACTGTCTCATGACTCGGCGGAACTCGTTGGTTGGTTCCGTTCCTCGTGATCGAGGGACCCAACCCGATTTGGAAAGTGATCAATTAGCCATTTGAAGTATCTTTGTCTCATTGACCTGGGTCTAATGAGTGTGAGTTCCTAGGCAATGGTGACCAGCACGCCCAAACAAGGTTAGCTAGGCTTTCTTGCTCGGTAGTCATGGTACACAGAGAGTAATGGTGGGTAACATACTGGCTGGTACCGTGTGCTCGAGACGGAACGTATCCCAGTCATTGAGGGCCTGTCCGTTGGGAACAGGGAGTGTTGCCGCGGTGCTTTGCCTTGGTATATACTGCTCTATTCAAACCCAGGAGGCTGTGCTCGTAAATCGCATTATCATGCTGCTTTCAGCTACGATTGTCCGTGCTTTTACAGCACCTACGTTATCAACGTCTACATACATGACATGCATTGCTTCTACTTTGTTTAAATTCTTGCTTCAGCCATTGAAGTCCATGCGTAGCTGGCTCGGTCAGATAAGAGGATGTTGCGTTGACTCTGTTGATAATGGATGAATTTTTGACCACATGACGCGAGACCAGTCATCAACGACCGTGGTTCTCTGCCATGACCTCCTACAGTACTGGTCTCGGTTAGCTCAGCTAGAGGGCCAGGCTTTGTGGGTAAAGCTCTTGTTAGAAGCTCCCGTGCTCAGCAATCACCGTCAAATATCGACTCGAATTAATGAGACTGATGTGCGCGTTTTCCATGGAGGCACTGATTAACCTCCAGAATCTTTCTCATCTCAAGTGGCTCGGCAAAGTCATGACATTCAGTTGGATGAGTTGTAGAATTAACTGGGTGAGGAAAAGGTAGGTTTGTAATTCAAACGAAGTACGGATTTCTAAAGATGACCAGCTAGGGCTGTGCTCGACTGAAGCCAAGGTATCCCTTGCTGGTACGCGAACGGTCAAGTTGTGGGATAAAACTGCCCACTCGTTTTGACAGATTTTATTCTGCTTTTCTATTGACCAATATTATCATATAGTCTCACGCTTAGTAGGACGTATTAATGACCATTTATTTCTTATTTAAAATAGGCATGGTCAGGTATTCCATTTAACCGTCTTCTTTAGAACGGGTACGCGCCATGAGGAATTAGAGGACTTTGATATCTGCAAATATCCTGGCCAGTATATTATTTCTAATTAGATATAGAGCATCATGCTTGGCATCGAAATGCGCGGTATATAAAGTTATCTTCATGGACCCACCAAAGCCAGCCAGCTGTTGTGTGATATTGTCCCATTTTTGAATCATTCTCTTCCTCAAAGAATAATAATTATTGCTATAGAAGTGCTTTCCATTTCCTACACTTCTCTAGTCCTCTCATTGGAGTGAGAAGGCTGACTTGGTTTAAGCCCGAGTCGACACCTCCAGGCCCAGTGGAAATAAGGTAGTATTGGGACAGGAGATGTTTCAACAATACCCCCGAGCCTTTCTTACAGATACAGTACTATATGCTGAAGTAGGAGTTGCAGCAAGCCTGCGTACGCACCAAATGACAACAAGGGCTCGTTTTGGCTTGTTGCCACGGAAAAAATTCGATACAGTCTGGGAGGTGCTGCCACAGCTAAGAGACCAAGTCATAGATTTCTGGATTTCTAAAGGTTGGGGTAGGACACATCCTCCACGATTGAGGACGGCAACACATATATACCGTTTCTTCTACCAGGAGTGGCCTATGGAAGCTAACTGCATAAATTCTTCTCCATCGCAAAAGCTTCTGCAACAGTATCCTGATAGCTCACCTGGAACCCGTGTTTACCAGTATTGACCTCCTCTTCTGGAGCGAACTTGTGTGTTCCTCGGGGCTCAACACCATCTTTGGCCATTGAATCATGGGTCCAGACATGTGCCCATAGTCAGCAGAGATTGTGTCGAATATATAGGGAAGCCCGATCAATTATCGTCTCTTGCTGTCGTCTGATTGGCGTCATCATTTAACAAAAACTATATGAATAATTTCAGATAAATATAGGCCCGTTTTCTCTGAATCTTATATTTGATAATCTCTTATAGAATTGCGTCTCCGCTTTCCGCGTGTCTACTTAAATCACTGTCCTAGTACCTAGAGTTACTATTTCTTTGAAGCACATTAGAGATGGATATAGAATAGATAATATATATTATCTTTGCCCAATCTATACTGGGAGAAAGTCATATAACCTGCCCAGATGGTGTAGATTTGGCCGTTGAATACAAATATATTCAATAATCTTGTAGAAATAAAAGGAAGCAAAAATTACTCGCAATTGCGGTTGAAGTGGAGGTGCGGTTACGCTTTACTTAATAAAAGATGAAAGTATTGTTAACTGCTTCTGAAGAATGACTTATGTACTGCAAAAGGCAAGTCTAATCTCTGCTGCACGGTAATGACATGAAGATATATTGTGTGATGATAGCGCGAAGAAGCTGGTGAAAAACGTGGGTAAATCTCTCTCTCTGTATTCAGAATATAAAGACATACCCAGCAGTAATTATATAAAGGATATGCAATTATTATAGCTAAAGTGAATCTCCATGTCAACGCGCCATGGGTATGGGAGAGTATTATCCAGCTGCTTGATGGTGTTGGTGCTTATAATGAGAATGTAGCCTCCCTGCGCGGATATGTTATTAATACTATAAGTAAAGTAGATAGAATGATTTTGCTGGAGAAATATTTTATACTGTCAGCTTCGAATTCGCCATTCTTTGATTTCTGTCGGGATTGTGATGCCAGTTTTTTTTTTTTTTTTTTTTTTTTTTTTTTATGATAATATAATTTAAATAAGACAGTTAAACTATGTATTGTAATTCAAACTACCAATGACTTTTATATGAGATTTTTTTCCTTATTGATAAGATCCATTGGGTAATGACTGCATGGCGTGTAATCCTCAAAAGCCAGATTATATATAATAGCGTTGTTAGCGCATATGGGCAGTCAACAGGAGGAGTAAGCCTAGTATATTTTGTATCTGGAAAGAGCTTTTGCTGACTGATTCCTCAGCTGTACAACTTCTATCAGTGAGATTATACAACAGGAATATTCTTTAAGTGCTTGTATTAGACGGAATGCGGGTTTCACGAATGACGCAATCGAAATAGTCGTCTCGCTACGGTGACTTTACTTGCTGATGAAAGAGGGATCGAATTTTATAGTTGCTCTTATGGCAAATCTAGGCATTATAGCCGGCGCATGATTTCGCGAACGAAAGGGCCGCAGACCGATGTATGTCGCTGCCTGACGCAGCTGTGGACTCCAACCGAAGGATAGACTGATAAACGACTAGACACACTCTCCTATACTCTATTTCATGCGCCCGCTGAACACCACCCCTCAACACTATTGAGTTTATTATACTCAATCTTCTATTGAGTACTACTTTCAAAAAGGGATAGAGAAAACAATAACCGAATTGCAATGTCATGTCACAGAATAACAAAGACTGCGAGAAGCAGCGGAGCACCGCGAGAACAAAGAAAGACCAGTATAAGAAGCAGCAGAACACTAAGTATAATCTAGTATACTATCCTACCTTCTTAATTATTGCTATAATTCTCTATCCCAAGCTACTGTCTAAGTTAAGATAGATAGGATTCTTGTAATCCTCACAACCCTCACAATCCAGGCCGACTCGGCCGATCCAGAGATTATCTATACTAAGCCCATCGTCCCATGGCTTGACTACCCGCAACTATTAGCAAATCTAAGGAAGGTTTGATTATACCGCTGTCTTTCTCTCTTATCTACTATTGCCTTCTAATATCCAGACTAAAACTATTACGGATATCCATAACAGACTGATTTATTTAAAGCATCTTTTCAGAATATTAGACGAGACACGGTAGATAACTTTATCGAAAAGAATATTAAAGCTTTGTGAGATGGTAAATTTTTTAAATGTAAGTTTAATATTCAAGACTGTGTCATCTTCTATAATTATATAAATTTATTAGAACTATCGCTGGAGAACAGTCTAGAGCAAATCTATCTTAAGAACGTGCAGACATCCCAACAGCTGGTAAACACAAGATTTAGAAAAGGCCAAGAACGAGGAAGAGGAGCCGTGCGGAGATAGAAAAGAAATAGCACTGATAAATAATACAATCAGTACATTAACCAGTTCTGTATGTATCTTGTGGGAGATGAGAACAATACCTATATATACAGTGAAGCTTAAAATACCGTATAAAGTAATAATTTGTCCATTAATAGAATAGAGTGGCGGGTCTACACTGATGGATCTGGCTCGCATATCTTTTTTTTTTAAAAAAGCAATAACTCCATTGATTTACATTCTGCCTAGGTACATAAATAAATTGCAAACATTGCTAACCAGTAAGGGTGTTGAACCCTTACTTCACCCCCGTGGGAAAAGAAATACACATTATCGGGTCAGGGTGTTGTACCTCGACCATGTAGACATAGAGATTATGAAGCCTCAGTCCTCCTAAGTCCAATACTTTTTTGACCCTGTGGAAATGATATAAATGCAAACGAACCCTTTCCATCCACAACTAACCAGGAGACTCCCCTGGAATGTCTATGTTGTTAGTGATCACTTAAGCAAGCTGCAATAACTGACAAATATAACATTAGATGCCCTACCTTAGGTATCCATTATCTGCATGAACATGCGTCCCAATCCCAGTTGCGGCAGTTGGTGTCGAAATTGATGCAGAAGCGGCCTCCACACCTGCAGTGATCCCAGTCCCAGATCTCACAACCTGGAAAGTAGTTGGGACACCACTGTCCGTGGCACCGATAATCAGAGGGGTTGCCACTGCCTCCGCCGACTCCGCCTACAGTTGATCCGCCACCTGTAGCGGGTGCAGCATTATTAATATTATTGATGTTGGTGTTGACGTTGTTATTGGTGTTTACATTGACATTTGTGTTGGTGTTGGTGTTGGTGTTAGTGTTGGCGTTGGCGTTGGCGTTCGCGTTGCCGCTGGTACTAGTTGCCTGGCTAGATGTTGAAGTCGAGGTTGAAGTTGAAGTCGAGCTGGTCGTAGGCGCCGATGTAGTTGAAGAAGGTCCAGTGGTTGCCTGGTTGGTATTGGCATTGGCATTGGTATTAGTATTAGCATTGGTATTTTGGTTAACATTGGTATTTTGGTTAACATTTGCGTTGGTGTTTGCGTTGGTGTTCGCGTTGGTGTCTGTCGGTGTTGGCGGCGCGGTGATGCTTGCAGTTTGCCGGCGGTAATTGTGTTTATCTTTATCAAGGCACTTGCATTCGCGGGAGTCCCACTTCTTGCATTCGCGGTCTACCCTGGTGCACTGATGATCATCATAATCATGATAATTACCTAGTGATACCTTAGCGGGACAGGGGGGTTTAGAGGGAGGTGTCCTTGTGTACCTTGAACATCTTTGTACGACCCACCATTTGCTACAGGCGAAGCAGTAACAGCGCCAGTAAGGGCTGCAACCAGGAGGGTGTAAAAGACCTTCATTTTAATGTTCAGTGAAAGATATATGTCAGATATCTTTGAAATCGAAGAACGAGACACTTGTAGTGAATTGATGCTGTGTTATGAAGAAGAACATCGATTTAAACAGGATGTTCCTTCAGATTTATAGTATGATGTTGATTCATCGAGACTGCCATTTTGGAGCAATGAACAGGGCCCGATGAGGGCTAGAGGATCTAGAACAAGTACATGTAAAATTAGGGTTATGAAAACGGAATCCTAAATTAAAGTTACGGAATCAGAAGCTTCAAACATACAGTGAACAAGGTGAGGGGTAGTGTACGAACCGAGGGCCGTCAAAATCATATCTTTAAAAGGTATAGATCTTCCCATGGGTATTCAGAACCTAATCATAAAAGACCCCTATCGACCCTTAATCGAACTCCAGCAGGTGAAGTCCTTGTTCCGTAAGATGCTGAGATACGAGATCCACCCATGAGTAAAACCTGTACTCACACTCGTAATAGTGGGATGATGATTGTCGACCGGGCAGCTGTTATTCACCAGTACTGTCCTAGAGAGAGCGCCTACAGCCATCTGCATTAAATTATTATGATCCAGAGCGGCTTCGTATTTCCTGTTTGAAGTTCTGCTAGCGGCAAAAACCTTAAAGCTTATGTCACAACTTCGCGTGGGGTTACCCCGCCCAACCCGCCTTTGTTGGGACCGTCCCGAGAACAATGCAATTCAGAAGTCTGGAGTCTGTTGCTGGGTACCCAGCAAGGGCCATACGTCCTCTCCGATCGGACTCTGCGTGAAGTGTCATCTTGGAAGGTTCTAGGCCGTGGGCAGGCAGCTTTGTAGATCATAGAGGCTAAATACAGCCCCGTAGACAACTTGAATAGCGAGGTGCCGGCTATGCTGGCAAGGATAGACTATATGACTTTAGGCCAGTCTACAAATATGTCACGCTGCAATGGCAAACTCAGTATGGTCTGAGCATGGAATGAGACAATTCTAGATTCATGCCCAAGATGCACAAACAATTGCCTATTAATTGAAAAGCAGAACATTTTTGGAGCATTGCTAAAATTGCTTCTGAATAGCTAGATTTTAGAGTACTAACATTGGCCTGATTAGGGGCATCACTCAGTGGTACCAGCTTTGCCAAGAAGGATCTCCGCACCAGGCAAGTCCTGGCTCTTCTTTTTCTTGTGCAGATATTGCTGGTCGGTTAATTCTCCCGCTCAGGCTCTGTATATGCGCAAGGTTCTGAACCAGCCTAACATCTGCCCGAACAGTAAGGGTGGGGCCGTCATGACACGCTGATGTGAAGGCGCATGGTTATTCCGCACGGTCGAGGCGTACAAGTAGGTTTTGGCCAAGCATCGGATCCAGCAAATACTGAATGGGGTGTTTGAAGCCCATGCTTTCTTCTCGGGTGCAGAATTAGGAGTACAACCCGCGTATTAGAATGAATATCTGTAGCTCTAAGTATTACTTCAGAAGGTTAGCGTAGCATTGTCTGCACGGTCGAGCCAAGGGTGCCAGTCCAGATGGCTTCGTAGACTTGCTCATATAACATTCAACGACCATCATCGACCGCATCTACGAGCGCCATGAAGAGCACCCTACTGGAGACTTAGTGCAATCCGCTCCATAACCACGCCCAACGCGATGATGTCAGAATCTATATGTTTGTTTTATGCATCGCCGCAACCGGTAATTAGAAATCTTGAGATACCGGGATTCATACGAGGCCTGGGCGCCTCTACGGCTGAGCTTCCTTTGAGACAAAACCTCCCAGTTCGTGGTGTACCTATCATTCGGCCCCATTAGTTCCAAGACGGGTCTCATTTGAGATAACTTAAAATCCCTCTACATCCACGAACTTGTTGGGCCCCCGCCCTCTAAGTATTGCGTTCCTTGGAACTTCCCATTCCTTGCGGTGAGTATATGGAGTGTAGCCACCCGACACATAGTAACCCTATACGATATCGTTCATGTGCCTCTCCTCATAACTTGAACTGGCCCGGTCCTGGAAGATCACTGTGTCGGTGGAGGACCAGAAGAGAAGCTAATCCTGGCTTAACCAGTTTAGCAAAGCTCAAGCTTCCTGCGTCGATACCCACAGAGACTGGGCGGCCGTCGTCCAGTATCCAGATTCGGTTTCATTCTTGGAAAAACATCTATTCATTACCTTCATCTGACGCATTCCTCCCCACATTTGACTGTGAACCCAAACGGACAAGTAAAGTGGTGTCGTCAACGTCTGCCGAGTTGAAGGAACGCAGGTCAATGTTTCTCTAAAGGTGGTGAAAATAACTTGTTTCACTACGTATGCTGCCCATCACACCCCGCCTCGCCTATAGTCGCGGCTGCCAGAGCTGGCTACAAACTCTCGAAGACAAGCCAAACGGAACATGTGAGTGATTATCGGTAGTAGCCCGCGCCCACCACCCTCTCTCCCAGCAGATACCACCTCAACCCTTAATTCGAACGACAATCGGCTTTGCGAATACTTACAAACCTAGCGTTTTATAATCGCTCCAAGACGATATCCAGCACCGTGTTACGCACTTATTCGCGACAATCACAGCGGAACCCATCTACAAAAATGGACAGAACGCCTCCTTTCTTGGCAGAGGACTGGGATTCGCGTCCATTCTTCAAAACAAGTGGTACCAGTGATGACACGAGGACGTACATCACCTCCTTTGTCGCCACCTGCAGTTGGCGGAACTGTGTGTCTTTCCGATTGAACTATCCGGTGGTGCCCAAGGGAAAAGATCGCCTCTGCGTTATTCTTCACGCGGAAAGCACCGTAGGCGAGGCTGAGACATTAGTAGTGGCACTCTGCGAGTCGGCTCAGGAAATGCTTGACATTGAACCAGGCGGGAATAAATATGGTAAAATTCCCAGTGCAGCACGGTAGGTGCAGGCTTTCCAGACTAGGCAGAAGAGATGGATGAGAAGTATTAAGCCCCTATCAAGATCATTGAGATCAGGTCGAGGTGACGAGAGTGTATAAAGTGCAATGTTATGTTGAAGACGGTGAAACGACAACAAATAAAAGATCGACTGTAGTGGATTGACTTAGTGAAAAGCCTGAAATGATGAGGCATCCTCTTTATCCACGAAGCGGGAAAGACAGAGAAAAAGAGGAACTACTCCCGTATACTGTGATGGGGTGAAGGCGTAATAGAAACAGAAAATACAAATCTTCCTACACTTCGAGAAGAATACAGACATCATCCTAGAATGACTGGCTACTTAAAAAAAGGGGTATGTTATAGGGCAGGATTCGACGGAGGAAATAAACCGGAGTCCGGTGCATGACTGGGGACCAGGACTCTTAACTCATCATAAGCATTGCCCAGCTCGCCCAATCACAGTCCTAGGCCAAATCTGAGTTACTAATATGGCGCTGCAGTCTATCGTAATCCATCGGCTGCTAAGGAAGAGTTTATGACGAAGAAACCCTCCGTTTCTTCCCCCTGTATTCTGTACTCCATATGGTTTTGCTTATCCAGCCCCCTCCCCGCCCACTAGCTAGTTATGTACCAGATCCCAGTATCTCAATGCTACGATGACACTTCATTCGTCGAGCCAATAGGGGAAACGGATTCGAGTCCAGATAAAGGAAATGATGTGAATACATCCAAATGTGTCTCTGCCCGTGAGCACGGAGGTGTGGACTGGCTGCTGGAAGCCTTGTTCTTTCTACCTGCTATTCCTAGCTTTTTTGTTGATGGCTTTTCTGGTCTCACTTGACGCAACTACTTAGGCGGTTTTTATTTCTGTATGTTGGTCACTAGTACATCTCCTTCAACAGTCGTGAGATAGTCTAGTCTTGTCGTGTCCTCCTAGACCATTACCAGTAAACTTTCTGGTACCACTCTTACCCCATTCTGGGCCAGCATCTCTTTCACCCTCGCTGTTGTCCCTGTTAAGCCAATATACACTACTGTCCCTGACATCCTCGGACAAAAGATTCTGATCTATACGGCTTTCTTTCTCTTTGCTGTTGGCTCTGTCGTCTTCTCTGTGGCCCGTAGCATGGCTGTCGAGACCTGAAGGCTCAGCCCTTCCACTGACAAGCATTTACAATTCCTTCCGCATTTGCTTTTTATTACGTGTTGAGGTCATTATTTGACCCAACAAGTTCCATATTTCTGATAGACGCTGGTTAAGGGGATGTTATATTTCGCTTCACAAGATATATAGTTGTGCTAGTAGCCAGCACTTATACAACCATGTCCTCTTGCACTTCATCCTATAGGCGGCTACGAATCTATTGAACAGTGCAGAACCATAGCCACTATTCATATGTTTCGACATGGCCCGAAAGTATTAACTGCGACACAAGGAACTTGACAGTTCTCTCCTTGACGGTGCCGATGGCACTTAAGGCTATCCTCGCATGATACCCCGCCCACTGAAATCAAACCACTATAGAGCTGGAAGTGTGTCCTGTCAAACTACAAACTTTATTCCTGAAATATTCTCTTTGGGACGTGTTATATGTAGATGGTTGATATGTCTGCAGTGCCCTATTTATTTGATCTCATCTACCCTATAGAACTCCCGAACCACCCCCGCGCTCCTTTTCCCCCTTCTGATGGCTGAAGTGAGTGATCTGGGCCTCGCCCCTACGCACCTATCATTATCTTCGGTCTAAGGGGTTGGGGGGCAGGTGGTTCGCTTACTGTTCGACACTAATCATGATTTTGCTCGTAATGACTGCTTGGCTCTATATTGTAGAAAGTGGTGTCAAACGATGTAACTCCTGTCATGAGATATCCTAGTGTGTCAAAAGTGGTACTATATGTGTATATTTATCCGCTCAAAGCCTCCTCTAGAAGAAGAGCCGTATTCTGATGCCCATTGCTTAATGCCCAGAATAGCGGTGTCCTTCTATTCCGATCTTTGGAATTGACGTCCACCTTTCCAGTTTCTAACAAAGCTCTCACCCCGGCTTCAAGTCCATTGCCCGCCGCCCAAGATAGCACAGTCCGACCCTCTTCTCTATCTCTTGCTTCCAGGTCCGCCTGTCCCGTCGCGATTAACACCTTCATGATTTCCTGATGCCTGTCAAATGCAGCCCAGGAAAGAGGAGTTCGCCCGTGGTATTTCTCAATGGTGTTAACGTCCGCCTTACCGGTTTCAAGCAGCCATTTAACGATTTCCAGGTGGCCCCCTCCACACACCCAAGAAAGGGCTGTGCGGTCTGATGATTCATCACGGATGTTTAGGTCGGCTCGGCCGGTGGCTAGAAGCAGCTTGACAACCGGTTTCATTCGCTCTAGAGAATTAAATAGCGCCCAGGTCAGTGGCGGCCGGTTTTGGTAATCGACGGAGTTGATATCCACTTTGTTGGTTTCCAGAAGGAGCTGAACAATTTCTGCATGACCAGCCCCTGCAGCCCATGATAGAGGCGTTCGACCATAATGTGAGTCTCTGGTGTCGACGTCCACTTTACCAGTAGCAAGCAACAATTTCACGACTGGCACAATACCTGCTTCTGCAGCCCACGATAGTGGTGTCCGACCATCTTTGGGGCTGTTCAGATCAAGGTTCGCTAGTAGATCTTTCCCATTATCAAGTAAGCTTTTTGGCCCTTCATCCCTCTGCTGCACATGGACAATGTTCTCAGCTGAACCGACGATACTCATCGCTGCCTCCAAATTGCGCGACGTCACCAGCAAAGAGCCATGTTTTGCTTCTGGAGCCAACGATAAAATCGGAATCTTCTCCGTCACGTCATTCTCCAGCAGAACAGGAAGCCCCGTCTCTTGGGAAAGACCTACATTTTCCACATTGTCCAGAATCATCAGCCATGGCCCATTTTCTTCATCAGTGAGCCAGTCCGATACCAGTTCCACAATATCGACTGCTGGGTCGTCTTTTCCGGGTAGATCAAGACGGTCAGCTAGATCTTGATACGACCTTCTGTATCGGGAGATGCTGCTTGCGTATATCCAGAATACGGATAGCCAGGGCATGTGTTGTTGGCTTCGGTAGGCATACTCTAGGGCGATGTATGTTTTACTGAATCAGTGTTAGTGAGAGTTATCATGATTGGTATGAGAGTGACTTTCTCACCCTATGCCTTTATTTCCAACGAGAGCTATACCGAGATAATGTTCAAACGCGGCTGTATCATATCTTCTAGCAAGCTCGCTCATTATAGAATCACTGCCAGCGAAATTTCCATTCCTCTGAAAGGGAACCATGAAGGTTTTTCTGGGTGCTGCGACAAACAGTCAGCAGAGCATATACTCTCGCAACAAACCAAGTGTGAATACAGACCATTTCTCCTCATAGGCTTCGTTCTCTCCACATGCCCTGGTGGTATAACCGACAACAACTCCTTCGCATAACCAGCGGCGACGCCGGCAGCAGAAGGTTGCCAATTCTTATTCTTATGCGAATCGGCATAGTCACAAATCCCTCGGATTACCAAGCATGGGAAATTATTCACCAGCCCGGCAGCCTCCATCTCAAAGCACAACACCCCTCCCAATTCTGCTGCGAGTCGGTCTCGTTCATGCGCGTCCTTGAGTACTTGATTCCCTGACGCAATTGTTCCATAATGCACCATAATGCCATGACCTTCACGTTCATCGCGTTGGATTGATCGTTCCTCGTCGCATTTCTCACACGTCGCACCTCCAGCATGGTTATACCCCGCCTCGAACAGGATATCCCTATTTTTATCTTTATTGCGCGTAAAAGCAGGCATTTCCTTCAATTTTTCCGTATACTCAGTCATCGTTCCCCTCCCCAGAAAATGCCTCGCCCGTAACAGGGCTACTGCATTCAGCAAGATAACCGGGGGCGCATTCAAAAACCCCGTGCGTACAAACCCACTCGATGTGCTCTTCCCAAAATCATACTGCACCACACCCCCAGTTTGATTATCCGGTCGACCGACGACCACATCTCCCAGCCGAATGTCATGCTCAGGGCTGGGGACGCCCCCGCCGATTCCCACCATGAGACCGAACCTGATTGACGGAAACGCGGAGCGCATTTGGATTGCCACGGTCGCAGCGGAGCTGGTGCCTATTTGTCCATCTGGGAGACATGTAATCACAACATTGTGCCCGGCTATATTTCCTAGGATGAATATGCTGGGATCATCGATCTGCAGGCGTATGCTGGAGTGTTCGGTGTCTAGCATTGCTTGTGCGGCTGCTAGTTCGATCGGCAGAGCGCAGACCCAGCCTACGGTGTAGTCTTCGCGATGAGGTTGGCGTTCTCTCATTGTAATAATATCGGTGCCCTTCTTTCAGAATTAGGGGACAGGATTTTGTTGGGGCGTTGCGGCTGATCTTAGATGTGTCTGACAGCCTTGTCATGAATCTCACTAGTTGGTAGTTCCGCCTCGCGGGGTTCGACTGTAGCTGGTCCAATCATATGCCACTTCTAGTATTTGTGTACCTTATCACTTACTAAAATTATCTCGATAGTAGTAGCACATGGCATTCTACTAACACATGTACTAGTTATTGCTTGGGTGAGGAACTGCTTTGGGGTACCTACTCAGCTGTGTACAACGTATACTGGAGAACTTTGATGATTCCTTTCTCTTCTTGTGCCGAATGCTCCATATCCTTTATACTCCAAATGAGCAGTCCTTACTAACATTCATGAAAAGACGATGAGAGAAGAATATGTAAAGCAATCAATTATCTTTGCCTTAGTCTTTCTCTTACTTTATCATAACTATTTATATGTTTTGATACAGATGACTGATGTGCGCCCACGTTATACAAGACTCATACATGCCAATTTAACGGCCAAGGCGTAATACTAATAACAGACTGATGACTGAGTCAATGTTAGGCTCCGACATAACAGCTCACATTTTCTTTCTATAAATAGCTGTAATAGACATGGCAAAGCTCACCGAAAAGGCTCAAGATAGCTGGGCTCAGCAGCCTGCTGACTAAGACTCACAAAGCTGACGTCAGTTAACTGACTAATTTAACTAGCATAGATTTTTCAGCAATCATATTATTGGACGGCAACGAGAGCACACCTCTCTACTGTTTATCATAAATACTATGCGCTACGCTCTCTCTGGCACACATCTTGTCAAATCTCAACCGAGCCGACTAAGGGACGGACCCAGACCAAGGGCTTGAGGCTGTGGTATCAAAGAACAGATTTTCTTTGCCTCTGAGACTAATCTCCATAATTCCATTGAATTGATCGCATGGATCACGAGGATCCGCCGGTGGTGTGTGGTCCTGGTGGTTCACTGCCCGATTACGTTACAACCCAGGGTGCTTTATAAACGCTCTTCCTTTAGTCCTTGAGCGACATGATCTTATTGATAAAACTTGTGGTGGTAATAGTGATATGATGACAAGAAACTAAAAAAAAAAAAAAGAAGAAGAAGAAGAAGAGGAGGAGGAAGGAAGAAGAAAAAAATAAGCCTAAACCTTTGCTGAACCATAGCCCCTGAATCTGACGCCATCAACATGGATCGCCAACTTAACCAATCTCTGCCACGTATGTGAAGCGACGATCTTACCTCAGATTCTGTAACGCTGCTCTGCGTGGTATTCCCTCGGAGATAAGGGAAAAGACAAGGCGAAGCCATGCTTACTGCAATCTCCGAGGTCAGGAGTGGCGCGGCGCAGATCATCACCGGAGCCGTTCGGACCACGGCTAGACGGCAGTTGACTCTCACCCCTGGATAACAATGGCATCCACAAGTCCATCCAATCAACAATTGAAGATTCTTAACGACAAGCACAACGTACAGCTTGAACAAATAGAAAAGTCTTAACCACATATTATACCGCCCTTCTGGGTCCCGGTCTCGCCCCCCACCCCCACCCAATACACTCGCATCGCTGAACTCCCAGAACTGGCAATTGAACAGAACAACTCGATTGAGTAGTCAACCTTATGTACCTAGATAGACAAAAGTGGCATCGACGGCCATGTTGGGGCAGTAGAAATCATAGTATGGCTCCGATTTGTAGACGTCCAGGAAAAGCGAATATATTACATGAATACTGTGAACGAAGCCCTACGTACGCATAAGTACGGACTTGGTTACCTCTTTGAGCTTAGTTTATTACTTTGGCCTGCATCTCATTAGCTTTCTATGCCATACATTCTACTCTAATACCCTTGCCGTGTTACATTGCTCCACAGGGGTCTAATTGCGATAGTTTAGATAAATTTGACTACGGTATTCGACTTGTCTATCTATAACGAAATTATGGGCAATTCATGGATGGAAAGATATGGAGGTTTGGGGGCATAAGAAAGATGGGTTTAGGCTGTCCCGAGCTGCTCTTCATTCTCGAAGCCAGTGTAGCTGAAGCCGGCGAAGGCGGCGCCAATGTCGGTGCTACTGCCATTGAGAGTGAGGTACAGCAAGTAGGTCTGGTAGTCGAGTAGGAAGGACGAACTGTTAGCAAGGGCGAGCGACAGGTTGGCCCTAGCGATGGCGTCGTCGAGTTGGGTATAATTGGCCTGAGTAACCCACTCCCGGGTGGACGGGACGTTCGAGCCGTTGCTACTGATAGTCACGTTGGCTAGCTGCGCTTGGGCCTGAGCGATAGCCCTGGCGAGGAAGCTGCGCGAGTTGCCGTCGCTCGTCATGCCCACGGGAGCGCCGTACTCGCTGGTGTTGGTAACGGGCACAAGCCAGAGGCTGACATTGAGGCCAGCTGCGGAGTCGTTGGTGAACTTGAAGAACTTTTGGGCGTCGGTGAACTCGCCGGGCCGGTTGGAGATGAATAGGTTGTCCCGTGAAAAGCGCATGGCGTCTTCATAGACGACCCCGTCGATGTTGTAGGAGGTGTGATCGGCGCCGCCGACAAACAGGCCGGCAACCTCCTGAGCGCGCTTCATGGCCCAGCCCTTGGGGCCGTACCAAAATAGCGCGACATCGCCAGATGCAATACTGGTGTCAAAGTTTTCCGCAGCAATAGCTGGGCCGGAGCCACTGAAAAGGTCGGCGTCAAAAATAGTGCCTTCCGAGCTCGTCTTGTCGGCGATGTCGATATTTCCGCGATAGACCGAGTAGGTACCGTTGGCATTCTGAGTGACGGTGTCGACACCAACGCCCTCGAGGTAGTCGGCATCGATGACGTCGGTGTAGCCATCGCCGTTGGTGTCCCAGAAGCGCACCTCAAGGCCGGCTACGAGGTTTGTGACAACCGACAGGGCGGCAGCGTTGTAACTGTCTGCCTCAGTCTCAGCCTCGTAGCCACCCCACCAGCTCGCGGTGGTAGTGTTGTAATACAGCCAGGCCACTTGATTGACCAGATAGCCGTCGCTCAGGCACTGGCTGACGCTTTGAAAAGCGGACTCGGTACCCGGGATGGCCCACAGGTTGATGTAGAATTCACTGGCGGCAATGACAGACTTGACACCCTCAAGAGCGCTCCCCTGCTTAAAGTACTGGTCGTACTGAGTGGCGGTGACATTGGCGGCGTCGCTGCCCATGTCAAGCACAACAGTGCGGAGCAGCGTACCATTGATCTGGTTACCGGAGTATGCAGTGCCGCAGGCAGCCAGGCCAGTGGCGGGCAGCATTGCTAGAACTGAGGCGCTGGCGAGTCTCATGTTGGCTCCAGCTTGAAGATTAAAACGAGTGAAGAAGCACGATGAAAACGAGTGGCGGGTGAAAGAGTGTTGTTCAGGATGTTGAGGACAGTGGACATTTATACCTTAGGACAGCAGAGGTAGATATACTAAGCTGATACTTGTCCTCCTTTCTCATCATCGATGACGAATCCCTTATGATTAGAATCCGGCTCGGGCGAGGTGGTGGGGCTGGTATGTGGGGGTCGCAATCGGCAATGTGCCTGATATTCTAGGTAGGAGATGTCTATGAAGATCTCTTCCCCTATTCTTCCAATGATAATGCCTACTCCTCTTATCGCACAGATAAATCTTTTAAGCTTGTTTTCACTATCGGGATACAGCAGGTAAATAGACCTTAAAAAGAATCCTTCCATGTAACCGAACGCTGCACTTGCTGGAGTAGTTGTGCAGGACATGCCGGTCCAGCTACATACTTCTGGAATTAGTCAAACGTTGATCAACAGAAGAGTGTGATTTAATATTACCCCGTCTCGCGGCTTACTCGGTTTCAGTCTGTAGTAGAATTATTAAATTATTCGTCAAGTTATGCGGGGTATACAAGTCTAGCTATCAACCATAAACACCCGTTCCCCGCTAGGGTTGGACCAAACCACATAACTCCGAAGCTTGGCTAACTTTCTCAGCAGTGGAACTCAGGATCAGAGAAACTTGTCTCCATTGAGTTTAGTCTCCGCATAATTCAAGCGATCAACCGAGGTTTGCGTCAAGAGTGATTAGCAGCACTAGTAATTTTGCTGAAAAATAGGATACGTTATGCATCACATGACCATGCACAAGTATGTTGTGGTCCATTAAATGACTCGCAAACACTGTCTAAAGCAGCACGTGACGGAATACATGTATCACGTGAATAGTTTGCCTGTACTGGTTACTATGCATTACTGCTGAGATACTGTAACGTGACAGTGCATATTACTGACTTTTCGAACACACCTCCTTAGACATGGCAGGTCTCGCCCGAAAAGCTCGGTATCAACCAGCATAGCATGGCTCAGCCATGAGTGTGGGAGCCTGGAAATCGACTTTGTAGAGAATTTGTGCGCTTAAAAAAATCCTTTTTTTCCAGTAAAGAAACTATTTTAGATACGAATATCTGCCAGTTCGACTATTATATGTGTAGGGAGCATAAGCTCTGTTATGTACTGCGAAAGGGCGTCGCTTGCGGGCGGAAGCGGTCGCCCGAGGTGTACACTTCCGATCACAGCCGAAGCTTATAGAAAGAAAGGTTGTACAGCAGGATTTGGTATAACACTATCAGCTAGAGAATCCTGCCAGTTATGTATGTAAGAAATTATTCATGTTTTCAATAGATTTTCTTTTTTTTTCCCCGGTGCGGCTGAGTAACACCTGCTAATTTTCTTGTTTCTATTTTTGTTTACCCCTCTGCTTATTCTATCAAATCATAAAATCTTTCATCTATCTTAGATCCTTAGCTTATCATGTGAAATATACTGTATACACACTATGCGATACTGAAGTGAAAGAGTATAGCTATAGTCTATAACTAAATACTTGTAACTAGATTCAGAGTGGTTAACAGTTCGAAAACTGTTTTACAATGCTCTTTAGAACAGAACCCCGCAGAGCTTATATGTTGCAAACACCTAATCAAACACAGGTTAAATATACAGCAACAAAACATCTACGTATAAATAAACTAACATTTCTAATTGTTATCATATTTCGATTTATTATTCAGCAGCTGTATGTATTTTATAAATTTTTCATGATTTGGTAATAGGTCTACAGTTATTAAGGATTTCGGAATATACACGTTTCAGTTTCGACCAGATAATGTTATTTATATATTTATAGTGGCTGACGTGCTAAGCGCCAACAGCATTCCTAGGCGTCTTTCTTTTCCCGGAGGGTTGGTGAAACAATTGTTGATGACTCGGCTTTCAGAAATGGATATACTTGTCAATGTAGTTCCACTTGGAAAAAGCTTCAATTAATAATACCGTCCATGTTCTCCGCCGCCTATGCTCTCAGATTATTACACATATGACACACAACAGGAAGTGACGACAAGGTATGACATGCCTCAGTAACGCATCTAATGACCACTACAGACTGCATGGGAATATGCAAGTGAAGATGAAAAATTTTGGGTCGTTTTATAGTGAAAAGATAAAAGCCTCTTGCATTCCTTAGTTATTCACGGGATGAGCCCTCCGGTCACGTCGAACCATTGCAGTAGATCACAACAATCTATTCACATAGTCTCCAATCACTGAATACAAAGTAATCCTTGCTGTTACTCGCCCATCTCTAGCACTATTGTCTGAGCATTTGCCAAGGTTCTTTGGCATGCTTCTACCCCTCGCTTGACTCCTTCTGTATATTCAGGATGCTCTCCAGCTTCGGAGATTTCTCCCTCAACCGTGACCGTAGCCCGTAAATCTCGGGTAATATTAGAAACCTCCTCACGAAGCTTGTTATCCAACTGTCCAAATGCTCTGTCGATCATTGTTCCATAGTCGAGAGCAATATTGTCAGCAAACTCTTGGAACAGACCCGAAGAACTGAGATGACGGTTCATAGTTTGCTTCCGACGCGAATCACTCCCCGTTCCTACAAGAGCCATTTGGCATTAGTGCGAAAACTGTAGTTGGATAGAAGATGGGAGATATCATACCACTTTGTTGCATGCAAAGGTTGTAGACTGGACGCATGACTCCCCCAATATATGAGCTCGCGTGCCCACCCACTGTGTCATCCGAGATTTTTCTGCAAAGCAATTTAGTTCATCTTACAGTAGCATACAAAATCGTGAGCAATACTCAGTGTCATCAATAAGTCGTTCTATGGAGTTATGAACGGCGTCAACTACACATATCTGTCGCATCCGGAGGTTCAGAAGCAAGTTCCCTAGGGTTTCCGGGGCCAGATCGTGTTGCTCTGGCAAGTCTAAAGTCAATGAAACCATGCATTTACTCTTTAGGAGGTTTGGAGAATGGCTTACCGCGTATAGAATCATGCACCCCTTGAAAAATCCTAGTGAGTTCGTCCTCAAGCTCCTTACCATGTTCTTCAAGCCAGTTCAATAAGGTATCCCACGCCAGAGAGAGCTGGTTTATTCCCGGACCGAGAATCTCTTTGTTCCAGCAGCGATACGGCTGTTTTGCCGTTTCATGCGTTCCATAGTTGCGACAGAATGCTGCATATGTCATGTGGTGCCACTGCAGGTAGCCAAATTAGGTATGAATAACCTTGCGGTACTGTGAGTTCCACTTACAGTTGCCCATTCCAAGCTCGCATCGACTGCATGGTCCCTCCATTCGCGTCGACATCTGCCTGTACCAGGTGTTACTCCTTCATTCACTAAAACTGGCTTGTAAGTCGATGCGTACGAATTTGATGTGTAATGGCATCGGAGAATTGCCTCCTGAGGCTACTTTGTAACAAGTGTACCTGCGAGCCATCACGAGTGGTGCTCTACGCGAATTAGCAAACCTCTCATTTCTGACTAAGCGGCCAACAGTAGATGTAAGTAGTGTAGAGTCTGCACCGAAACAGAACAAGTGAGTTTGGACATCAGGACAATTACCGTACCCCTGTCAGAGTGCTTTCAGCTTCAGCCAAAACCCGCCGCAAGACTTCAGCCCGGGCCATAGTCACGGTGCTAGTCCCTGATAAAGCCCATTGCGTGATAGAACCCAGGAGCGCTGGTACTTCCTTTTGAAGATAAGACACCGTGGCTTGGAACTGCGCATCTGCGGGTACTGATTGGCAGTACCGCCGAAGTTCTTGGATACCACTGAGTGCCAAGTACCCATTGGTCTGTCGTCGATCGTCCTCTCGATGGTCAGAATAGAGCTTATTGCTCACACAGAATACGCGAGCCATTTCCCCCCAGGCACTCAACAAAGAGTTAGTCACAGATGTATTTCTTCGCGTGATGAGGAAATGCGTCAGCCTGGCAAGATTCGGGTCAGACGAATCTTCTAGTTGGGGCAATCAAAGTCAAGTTTTCTTACTGAAGCTCAAGGGCGTCTTTCTGATCCCTGTAATGAATGAGAAAAAGAAAGGTATGAGGTACTGTGCATCGGAGCCACTTACCTTAAGTCACTTTCCTCTGCAGCGAGACTTCGCATCCTACTTCCGTGCGATTTTCGTCTGCGAGTACCTGTCTGTCCGATCCTGCGCTCGAGTTGCCGGATTTGGTTATTCATATTCTGGATACGTACTGCATCTGCTGCGGGTGCGGAACGTGCAGTCTCTTCGGAGTTGACGTCCTGCATTTCACTGGTCACTTTGATATCACCTAGACAATGAATAAAGAAGTACTTACCTCTGAGCGAGTACACACAATGCGAATAGGCTGATCCCGCGCACATCGACGAATGATATCACCTATTGACTGATCGGTTGTACAACGCATGATAGTGGTCACAATAAACACCTCGTCGCAGCTGTGGCGTAGATACCTTTCCGTCGCTCGCACCCGAGCGTAGTTTAAATCGCGGAATCCTGAACATCATGTTCTTAGCTTGATCCTGACGCCACCGTTGTGAAACTTCGGTACGGTACCTGGGAGGTCGGCCAAAACTAAACCTGTGCGTAGGACAGGCGAGCGCAAATAGACCCTGATATATATAAGCCACATAACGCACCAATTTGTTACACTTCACTTCTGTTATGTACCTGATCAACTTCACAAAAGGCCACAACGCAGGATTATCACCGTCACTGTCATTAGCCATCAGTCTGTCAAGATGCTTCATGCATTGATCAGCATGGCTAGACACAACCGTATACTGTAGGTTATCACGCCCCCCCGGTCGGTTATCTAAGCCCGACGTGGCCCACTGCAGTAAGGCGGTCATAATTGTGGCCACGGCCTCATCTCCTTCCTGGGCAAGAAAGTCAATGTCCAACTCTTGCTCATGAGGAAAAAGGGATCTCAAGGTGTCCCAGGCTCTTTTAGCCGCAACCTTGATATTCTCCTGTTCTTCCGACGTTCTCACTTCACGAAAGGCTTCCGTGTAGTATTTCCGAACGCTGGATAAAAGCTCCTCGAGGAGCTCACAGATCTCGTCTTCGTCCATGAAATCCGCAACAACGGTGTAGTTCTCTGGATAAGTGTCGTTTACACTCCGGAATTCGGTAACGACAGTGGTACAGGCAGCGCCGTCTCCGCTCTAATCGAAGGGTAGACCATGGGGAATTAGTTATCATTGGCCTATTACGATGTCTTGTTTCGACAACTCACCGACCGCGCCAAGCTCTCTTGATCTAGAAGTGAGTTTATCAAACTACTCTTCCCTGTTCATACAAATCAGCCTCTCAACGTAGGCGAATCAACACTCTGGATCAGCCATCTTTCCCATACTTACCTACACCCGAGTCGCCGATGAAGCCTACCGTGCGTGTCGCTGGATAAGCGAATCGACTCGCTTCAAGCGTTTTCTCGTATAGCTTCGACAAATCAGTAGTATTGTCGTGGGCAAGGGCATTACAAACCATCACTTGTGTGAGGCTCGTAAGCTCGCTTCTAACATCTCGCAGTGCATTCTGAAGTCGGATATCATAGATAGGCTCCCGGGGAAGAGCATCATGACGAATGTTGTAAGCATCCTCGTCGTTGTCTTCCGCTACATCACTCTCAGTGTTGAGCGTAGAGCTCCTGTCAGAGTCAGAAACATAACTATCTGCGTCTTCCAGATTCAGATTCTGGAAATGAGAGCTGACATCCCCAGGGGGTGAGATAGGAGTTGGTGACCGTTGTTGGCTCGGTCGTATGGAAGAGGGCCCTATAGGGCTAGGTGTGGCATTGTGTAGATCTCGGTAGGTCGTTCGATGAGCGCTGCGGGTGGGTGTTAAGCCAGACTCGTTATGAGTTATATTAGATGGATTAATTGGTGGCTGTTGTGCTGCAGGAGAGATGCTATCGCTCAGTCGGAGGTTTTCAAAGAGCAACTGCGCGGTTGGCGTTGTAGAGGATTGGCGACCTTCTGGGATGGCTGAGCTGAAGCCGTCGACCGACGAATTCGGGGTCAGGCATTCGGGGGACGATGGGCTGCAGGAGAAGGTAAACTCGACAGAAGGAAGAGGCCGATCTCTGTCTATGGAAGATGGGGGGGTCTCCGCGCTCCTGGTGGGAGTAGTCCTGAGGTGATCCGCGTTGTCAGCCATGGCGCTGTTATTGCACACCTGATGTTCACTATGCAGTAAGTAGTTGTCGGGAATTTCAGTACCTGGGGACTCGCCGTCGTTAAAAGGCTGAAAAGGAGGCTGAGCAAGCGCGGCTTTGTACGGCGCTTATGAGCGTCTCATGTGGTGGGGTAGTGCTGCGTAGAGAAAGAGCCGTCTCTGCTAGCCTCGGCGCCAACCATTCCCAGCCAGAAGCATGAAGCACTAGTAAAATTACAAAGAGAGTCGCACTTTTTTGGTCGTTTCGACCCTCCTTCTGGTATGCACTGAAATTGCACTCGTAACAAGGATACTTCCTCCAACCTGAACCCATTGCTACCAATTGATAATTGGGTATCGGAATAACAGGGGATTTGGGCCTTACTGGGAACCTCAATATGTGACCTTCATGCATTCCATTATAGTCAAAATACCATGGCCGACCTTGACGTGCTTGGTGCATGGTAGACTACCTGGAGCTGAAACGATTGCGTGCTTTTATCTGCGGGAGACAAGAGTGTCCATATAAAGCTTCTCCTTGCGTCGAATTGATGATTAAAACTCCAGGTTATCTCTTTTCTTCTGGCCTCACATACTTGGGCTATGAAAACAAATACGTTCTTGTGAAACGCCTTTTTGATGAACGCCTGGTAAAAATTCTCTGAAACCACATATTTTACCGCTGTCCTTTGTCACCTGGTAACCCACAATACATGTCTTGCTGTCAATCCCGGTGCCAAAAGTAATTAGACAAAATGGACCATGGCAAAGCGTTCCTCTATCTCCCAGATGTGCGCCGGTGACCCTTCAAGCATTCCAGGCAGACCCTTCCTTTGTACGTGCTGCTTGCAAGTCTGAATATGAGACAGTTATCAGGACTGTCGATCTAGCCAGTCGGGATTGGGCGCTTGGACGATAAGGGGGAAAGCCGTGACGGCCCGGCGCAGCCTTAAGAGCCACTAACCGTTCAGCCACCTTACTCAATTGGGAAATACTACGAGTCAGCTATCGTCCTACTAGTACGAAATATTCCCTGGGCACAGCCTTGTCGCACATTCCAACCGTCGTGATCATTATCAGCAACCAACCAATAGTGATAAGTTATCTCGATCCATGACCGAGGGAAAGAGATTACAACTTGTCTAGTAAAATAGGGAACATGAACTAATTATCGTGGGTTAGCCTGCTCCATCACACTAACGCGTCTCGCTACCAAAAAAAGTTGCGGGGATAATACTTAGTTTCGCTGGCCAAGCTCGCACAGCCTGTCCTCAATGCTCACCTAAGGATGACACGAGTCATGTGATGTCCTGTTGTCCTTTCTTAGAGGTCAAATCATCAAGCCCATATTCACGTGGCCGTTGAGGACATGAATAGTTGACATTGATTATCTTGATAAATTGACCCATATGGTCATTACCTGTAAAGTATAAAATTATATCCTATATTTATCAAAAGATTATGGCAAGCAGTTTGAAAGTTCTTCAAGGCAATAACCAACTACACCTGAACATGTGTAGCAAACTACATGAGCGTGTTGGATCTTATTATGTTGATTGTGTAGGAAGCGAAGAGGCCGTGCCTCCTATAGATACATGATGGTAGATACATGATGGTTAAACCATACTAGCTAGGAAGGAGCGGTGATCATGTGACAACATGACTGCACGAACGAACAACCCCCCGGGTGCCTCCAATAAAGGATGACATGACTTCTAACATAAATCCTTAGATACTCTTGATCTACATTTGATCTACATTTATCGACATGAAAAACAAAACAAAACAAAAAAAAAAAAAAAAAAAAAAAAAAAAAAAAAAAAAAAAAAAGATATTGTAAATGAAATGCATGCGGTTAGATTCTGTGGAAATGAGGTGACTCCTGAAGTAAATTACACGCAAATGTGGATGGTAAGGCCACACCACATGACTGTATACGTCTTATATATTGATATGCCCAAACCGCCGAATTAATGTGTGGGGTTGGACTGAGATCCTCCCTATCGACTATCCTTTGTTGTCTAAACATAGACGTAGGTCATAGCCATCCTTAGATGCCAGTGCCTCTACCTTTTTGGACTACGAGCTAGTTTACAATCAGGAAGCCAAAGTTGGGTAGGGTATATCCTGTAAGTAATGTTGTTTGCCTTCTCCACATGAAGATGACCCGTTATCTAGAAGTTGTTTCCTCCCAGTAGTTATATTCATGTGTGGTTTGACGATGCCTAAGAACAAGTCGCAGGAAACGCCCCTTCCTGGGTCGAATTATTTCAACAATAAAGGCCATGGCCGTTGTTACGACGGTAACGAGGTAGTGACTATCCGTCCCCGTAGTTCATAAACGAACATCGCTGCTCCATAGTAAACTCTGTGGTCCGTAGCTTCAAACCACTCCAGTACATAATTCGTCTCTCACGGACGATAGAAGAGAAGCTGCTTTGACTTGATGATAGCCTTTTATTCATAACTGTACTTCTTTATTGGGTGGTTGGTTACCCTTTCTCTTGCCCGACTTGGAGGGCTCGTCTGAGGTGCATGCTCTTGGAAAGGGGCAATATAGAATAATACTCACCTCTAGGCAAAATCTGGCACCCGTCAGAGACATGGAGGTCGCCCCATTGCATGGTTGTGTCATCAAAACACCAATAAAAGCCCACGCATGCCGAGGCCAAAGCTAAGAGAAGAACAAGTACCTATTGCCGGATGGTCCACAGTCACCGAGCAGGAAATCACCAGTAAAGTAGACTGCATTAGCTTTGGCCTTGGAGTGACGCCTTCAGACAGCTCTATTCGGGTTAGGGCTGCCGGTTGCTAATTGAGGTCCAACCTGTGTAGTACCAAGCCTGGTCACGCCCCGACTTATTAGTAGTGTTACTGGCCGTCACACTTGGAACTATTATTAATTATCCCACGAGTTCAAGAAATATCTCAATAAGTCATTCTGGTGGTTGAGACCACCAAAGACCAACCCTTTATACTAAAGATAGTCAATTCTGTTGCACCTAATGCCCAGGATTTCAGCTCATAAATATCAGCCATATCCAATCCCGCCGCATATGGGGTGCACCACCCCCAGTGGGTTAGGGATTGTCTGGGATCTATCAGCAGTTACGGTTTCGAATATTCATTTTCTATCAATATTTTGCATTACTGCTAAAGCCAAATAGTGCACTAACATACGTATCTACACATGTGCTTAAGCGATCACCTACCGTATAGAGCGCTGGAGAAAAAGCAATATAGGAGATCTTCAAGACTATTCCCTCCATCTGTGAGCCCCTAATTTAAAGGAGTTAGCTATATAGAGAGAATCAAGTTTTTGCTTATGACAATTCAATACTTCTGCCGAAAACCTACTCCGGCCCCGGCCAGGACCCCGCACTGAAATTCCCCATCATCGGGCAAAGAACGGGTTGTGCGTGAATCTACTTATAGACCACACAGCTGCATGGTGTACAAGGCTATCTTAACATATCGCTCGAAGACTCAACTCGACTCTTTTGATCACTTAGTAAGATAAAGAGAACATAGACTGACACTATGACATCCATCGACCCTCACACCAACACCGCTTTTGCGACCATGGACTGGGAATACTACCATCAGGGTCGTCCCCCATACCCTCCTTCTTTGACTTCACTTATCTATACCTACCGACGCCTCCATCCTCACACTAGCTGGGAGCGCCTGGTTGATATCGGCGCTGGCTCGGGGATAGCCACCACCAACTTTATGGCCGACTTTCAAATCATCCATATCTCAGATCCCAGTCCATCGAACGAGTCCCAGGCGAGGGTATTTCTTCCGAAGTGGGCTGCGAAACATGGCCTACAACCCACTTTTGAGTACTCCCAAGCCGTGGGTGAAGAAGCGTACCTCCATACTGGTGAAAGCCAGGTGGACATGGTGATATGTGCAACTGCTGCACATTTCATGGACCCGGACGGCCTGGTTACCTCTATTGGAAAGATGCTCCGACCGGGTGGCACAATGGCAATCTTTAGCTATTGGCTACCTACGTTCCCCAAGCAGTCTGAAAACTTTCACAAGGTCTTCTCGGCCGTCTTTGAAAAGGTTCTCATGCAGCAGCTACAGGAGGATGCCCCTCTGACGACTCAGGGAGAACTGATGTACAACCTGGCACGGCGCCAAGGAGCTGGTGAAGGAGTGTTAGACTCACTTCCTGTGCCAGAAGACTTGTTCGAGGATCCTGTCCGGGTGTACATCAACTCCGCCAAGGATGGCAGGTTGGCCTACCAAGAGTATTTTGCGAAACACTATCCCGCTGGCTTTCGGCCCGAGGAATACAATCGGGTGGGTGACAGAGACAAGAAAGCCAGATATAATACTGGCATCGACGATGAAGCTGAGGGGTGGGAGTTCGAGGTAGACAAGGAGTGGCTCATTATGTTTCTGAATACCGCGTTGCCACCACAGCAAAAGCTAGAGGGCGAGACTGCGAAAGTCCTGCTCGCTGACTGGGACCGGGTATTTGAGGAAGAATGTCCGAGTGGGCGGCTACACGTCCAGTGGACGGCAAATCTGGTGCTGGGAACGCGGAAATGAGAAGACACTAGCTGCGCAGTATATGGGGTGATTTCAAGGAGAGAGCACACCTAGGTAATTCCAAAATCGTGGCAGTCAAGATACGCATGAGGCTTTTGGAACCATGCACTAATTGATATGAAGTGCTTTCTTGCTCCCAACCGATGTCTATTCCTTTGTAAAAGCCGGACCAACCATTATAGCGAAAGAGATGCCGATTCAGGGCTATCACTAAAATCGACAAGAATACAATGGCAGGATATCCAAGGATGTGACAAAACGGCATTCTGGTTTAATACCATATAGATATGTTCTGGAGAACCATATAACTGTACAGTTCATCAGTGGCAGTACTGAACAATTTCACTCAACCGTCTGTATCTACCACCAAACCTCTGTGCCTGCCACTCGCTTAGTTGATGTCGATGGATATAATACTTTGTCCCCAGCTCCTTACGTTTAAATCGAAAACCAGCTGCTGATACTCGATCTAACACAGAAAAACACGGGTAAATGCGAAGTAGAACTGGCCCCCTCCCCTTCCTTCTGGCGTGCATGACAAGGAACCTACTAGTAGTATCGCAATCTGATCTAACACACTTTTTCAGCTTTGCAAAACTTGAGGGAGAAGTATGACTGTCGTGGTAAACCGTTACGTAGGAATATAGGACAAAGGCTATCCTTGGAGAAAGCCTAAGCCATGATCAGCCGAAGGAAAGGATGTGCGAGTACCCTGCAACTGCATTTCTTCGGATCATAGCGGTGCTGCACGGATGCTATTGTATTATTGGATGTGGTGGAATGCACAGTATGGCTGCTTTTGTGTGATATGGATTGGTCAGGAAGCAGAGGCAGTAATTGGGGGGCGAGAAAATTGTTGCAGATCCTGTCCATCCACTCAGCAATGCAGGCCGATCACAGGGCGCCTGCAGGTGCCGTCACGGTTGCAACATCAATTTCTTTCCCACCCACGCAATGTGTTAGAGTCATCTACCGACTGGCCATCAAGATTCCATTCTGTCAATGCCATACTTGGTGGAAGTCAGGGCCACATCATGCATCACATAAATACTAGTTACTGGAAGACTTGTTCGATCTCCATTTTGGGTAACTTTAGTTTGACTATGCCACCACGCTAATAAATTGGCAAAAGTAGAATGAACGAAAGTTCATAAGCGCACACTATTTAAGTGTATTACTGACGATAAATCTACAAATGGAAAACTTCAGTGAACAAAAATGGGAGGCTAAAAAGAAACAATCCAAATTCTCAAAACTGACTAGTATCATACACATACATCGGACTTAATATACAGTCATTCAACGTTTGAATATCCGTTAGGCATCATATTCATGGTGCTCGTCATGGTGCACTGCATGGGGCAATCACGTCCAAGGGTCGGCTCATCCCGGTCATGTCCGACATCATAGATATCCAGGTAGATCTCATAACCCACCCATTCCCATACTTCTGGCCCACTCAGTTCACAGCATTCCATCTGGTATGAGTCAATCAGTAGCTGCCTGTGTCGAGTTCGTTATCTCGAACAGGACGCGCTTGTACGTCGTCAATGGATATACGCCGTTGTCCGTCACTTCCAGGATAAGGTGCAAGGTCCAACAGCCCGAGTCGTTGAAGCTCTTGCCATCGCAGACCTTGTCTTCGGAGGGAATTGTGACCTGCGCGCGTCGACCGTCGCCAGACACAGTCACATCCAAGCTCGGGATCTGGTTTCCAACGTTCCAGTCGGTCGATCCAGGCTCCTTGTACTGGAACCACCGGAATAAAAGGCTGTCTTGATCGGGGTCGTACGTCTCGGAGGCGTCAAGCCACACGGTAGCATTAGGCGTCGACGCGATGAACAGCGGGCTCAGCTCTATGTGTCCGTTCACTATGACCACGGGGTGGTGGTTGGCAGCCTTAGTCTCGTTGGCCGGGAGAGCCCATTGCATCCGAGCAGCAAAGTCATTCTGATACGCATCTCTCCAACGCCAGATGGCTGCGTGGTTTGAGGCGTAGGTGCGGTTGTTCTGGCCGATCACCCGGTCTGCCGCGTCACTGTACTGCCGGTACCTGACCTGCTGGGACAGATCCACCAGCGAGTAGCGGCCACCCCACGAGCCGTAGTCGGGCTGCTCGCGCACGCCCAGCCCGTTCTGGATAAGATACAAGAAAGTCGGAGTGTCTCCCTCCATAATGTATTTGTAGTCCGGATACTCCTTGCCATAGACGCCGATCTGGATGTGCTCCTTTAGCCACGCGGCGGAGACTTTGGTGAAGTCCGGCCCGCCCACATCGAAGTTGTAGTACTCCTCGCCGGAAATAGCCGCCCACGTGGCCAGCCTGTACTGGTTCCATCCGTGCATTGATGCGATATAGAAGATATCCGGGAACTGCTCGCGGATCCAGAGGCCGCTGTCATCCTGATCGGAGATGGTGTACACGCGTAGCTGGGCACGCAGACGTGCCGCCTCAGTGGCATTGAAGTTGTCGTGCACGTAGTACAAGGTCTCTGCTAGGACGTTCACGCCGCCCCATCCGAGGACCCACAGGGGTTCGTCAACGGGTTGGCGGAGTTGGCTGAGCAGTAGCTCTGCGCCGGAACTAAGATTCTTACCAGGGCCAACGCCTTCCATGCCGTACATCTGTGTTCTAATTAGCAGGAACCGTGTAAAGACGGCCACGGGGGTGCTTACTTCAGGACCGCATTTGACAATGCTGTGGAGGTACTCCGCAGAGGGATACGGGGATGAAGGGGAAGTGTGTTGATTCAGGTTGTCGACCACTTGAGCGTACGCATCAACCACGGCTGAGATCTGCTCGGGGTACACCTTGTCCTTCAGCCAGGTGGAAGTGACGGCGGTCATGCCCTCGATTTGGAACGGATTGCTGTAGAGCAGGAATCGCACGAAAGACTGGGTGTCATCGGGCTCATTGGAAATGTCTGAGAGAACGAAAACCCGGGGCTTTGACGCATAGCTCAAAAGCGAGGAGCGGTTGACAGCCGCACTGGCGTCTGCCACGAGGGCGCTGATGCATGAAAACAGCAGGACAGAGAGTTGTTTCATGGTGACGATGTGAAAAAGGGCCTGACCCTCGATAGGAAGCAAGGAACCCGCCCCGGTAATATATAGGAGCCGAGTGGGACCCTATATGGGGCTGAGTTGCGGGGACGCGGGAATGAGGATCTTCTTGGCAGGTGAGAAAGCATGATGTTATTTTCTGTTGTTGTGTTGTTGTATGGAGTATGACAGAGGAGGGCATCCACTGCCTTTTCTGCATTGAGCGATACAGCAGCCGAGCCGGCCGGCAGCCGGTCACTTCGGCTCCGCAATTTCCTTCGTCTGTCTTGCTGTTTCTGCCGAGTCTGCCCGTTTTGCCTGTTTCTTCCGGCGGTGTGTGGAGCTTATTGCCCCAAGAAGGTATTCCTAACCCCCAGCCAGCGGTTGCAATTACCCCATTGAGCCTCCCCACAGACTCCTCTGCCAAGTTTCTCCCCAATTTGCTCTTCCGAAACAGCAGTTGGTCAACCTACTCTCTGCTATGATCTCCCCCAGCGCCGTGGGGTTTTTTTCTGGGGCAGACGAACTCGACACCGTTCCATAATTTATAGCCCATTGATTACGCACCCATTAAGAACTTTTTTTTCTCGTTATAAAAGCATCCCCAAGATTGGGAAGAGCTGGACAAGATGAAAGCAGCCTCTCCGTAGCTCTGTGGGAAGCTGCGAGTTCATCATGTCCTATGTCAAGTGCTTGACGTTGTATACATACAAAAGAATCTGGTGGGGATGTGCTGCACAGACTGTTAAATACTGTTAGGGAGCGCTGGCTGCATAACAGAGTAGACGGTGCTCTAGGCCAGATCGCTGTCATGGAGAGCAAGTTACATATAACCGAGCGTGAGAATCAGCAGGAGGAATATCAGATTCAACTGTTGGGGGCAGAGACAGCTTTGCTAGATGTCTAGCTGGAGACTTTTATGATAGAGGGCTTTGCGGTAAGCTGAATTTCTTTCTTGTGAATACCCCCTGTCTTAGAACTGGAACGTTACTCAATTACTCTGTTTTGAACCGGTTTCCGCACTTTTGTTCATCCATTGCAGTTCGAAAGCCCTCGCGATATTTTCTTGATGTTTTATAATGGTGTACTGTACACCTGCCATCGCGGTCAGTATTTGGACGGCTGTCTTCTTCGGCGTTGTGTATAGACTGGCGTACGGCATGTGTGAGTTTTCATCTTTAGTTCGTCCTGCTGTTTTCAGCTTAGCTAGTTGATGTCCTAATATACTCTTATTATTATTTATATACTTCTTCAGGTGTATTTATGAGACTCTACTGTAGTAAGGATTAATCTATACTTATGGAATCCCGTGCAAGTAGGTCGCTCGATTGAAGAAAAGAAGGGAAGAAATAGGTGTATTTTCAGTGCACTGCTTTTATATATAATCTCTAGAGAAACACCTTCCCTTCTCCGGCCGTGATCTCCATTTAGCTGGACAGCTGAACTAACCTTCATCACTATATCATTAGTATGCTTTTTTCAGTCGATTCATATCTTCTTAAATTCTCCATCATATATCCCTTGGAAGGATATGTTACTGATCTAAACTTCGATCTATCTACTATTTTCTAATATAGCCATTTGTCTCTGACATTTTCTTAACTCAAGGAAAGGAGGGCCTAATTCTTGAAGGGGCTCCACGAATAAGGGTAGATTATCAGAGTTGTACATCTTATATGCGACGTGCCACTCCCAGTGAGTCAGTCTTTTGTATTTACATAACCAACCCCTACAGATATCAGTCCACCATCCATTTTGACTCTGATTAGCAGCTCAGCTCTAGAAACAGGCATTTACCAACCACGGCATTCGATTATCCGAATCCTGTGGTAGTAGGGGACTCTTCTTGGCAACATCATCAACAAACAGCACCGCATCCAGAGAATCCAAACAATGCTTCACGTGATGAAAGTCGATATCACGCGGGCAGACATGCCGACCCGTCTCCCTCGCGCGCCAATACCGCCGCAGCGCCAGGAGGCAGTGCGCTGGGTGGAAAAGGGCGTCCGTGGCAATCTGCACCCCGTACGGATTCTCCCAGAAAGAGGTGTTCAGATAGTCGCCGCTCTGCCGGATTTGCTCCATCTCCGGATACCGTTCCTGAAACCACCGTTGGTACTTCTGTTCACTCTCATCAATGAGGTCGAACGGTACCATGGATTGATCGTCCAACCGGACGAACCACGGCTGCTCCCGTCGCTCCTCCCCGAAATAATCCAAAAAGCTGGACCAGGGACGCGTGAACTGAAGTTGATGCTCGAGGCCGAGACTGTGGCTGGTGTTCCACTGCAGCCAGAATGTGTCCGGGGAGCTGCTGGCACTTGAGCCGCGGAATGTAAGTCGGAGGCGGGCGGACACGACGACACATATCACAAATAGAAGGATTGACAGGCTGATCAAGACAAGCCAAGGGGCACCCCGACACAGGTCCTTCCTGGCCTTCTTTAGGACCAATGAGTGATTGATGATGGGCACGAAGGTATCACAAGCTGCAGGGGCTCTTATTATGGAGAGCAAACAGCCAAAATCGAATGACGAAGCGGCGGTGAAGCTGAAGCAGGCTGATACGGAGTCCGCTTGCAGGAAGAAGTTCGTGGCCCGATCAACAGTTTCCTCGAACGTTAAGAAAGAGCCCTGATTGATAGCAGAGAGCCACAGTCTGAATTGGCCGTAGCCATTGACAGAAGCTAAGACACCACAGTTGGAAGAGCTCTGTAAGACTAGGTCTTTTGCCCAAGCCTTCAATAGACTCGACAGCGTTGTCGTCGATGATGGAGTGGTATTGCTGATTACTGTGGGTGGTCCACATAGAATACACAGAGTCAACTCCTCATTGTCACCGTCGCCTTTCACAGGCTGATAGGACCACCTCGCCATGGGCAATAAGCATTGAATGATACTACTCGGACAAGTACAGTCAATCAAGCCAAGTGGTCGCCGCCTTAACGCAATATTACCGCAGTATAACAAACAACAAGGCAGAGGAAATCTGATCAGATGCCCATTCTAGACGGACCCCCACTCCCGGACTGTCAGATTAATCAATTCATGTCAGACACTAGATATACATCCTAGAGACCGTGCGCAGCCCCGTCCTTGGTCTCACATAAGAATGTCGGGCGTCCGTCGGTGTACGGAGGACGTATGCGCCGTAACAAAACCCCCGCCTTTCCACCCCGATACCAAAGTGTGTAAGCTGCCACTCCTACTCGCTGTTGGTCACCAGCGCTACCCCCGATTTGGTCCCTGACCCTGGCGATAAGAAAATCTCTCCACAATGCTTGATATGATGCTCCGAGTCCGATCGAGGCTCCACAATTTTCCCATTGAACCGCGTGCGGAACTGCTTGCGCCAATAGAAAATGCAGTGCAGGGTGTGCCATTGGACACTCATGTGCACCAACGCCGTCGGCTGGTCCGCCAACGCCGCCACCTCACTGGCATCCATGGGAATGGTGCGCTCGCTATCCGCGTAGTAGATCCAAGTACCGTTAGGCCCGTCGCCCACGGTGTTGAATTCCGCGGCCAACTCGTCGTCACGACAGTGAGGTGGGAGCCAAGCCATGGCTAGGCCGTCGAACTTGCAGTCACGCGAGATGGCCTCGGCGACGGATCCGCCGCAGTCGCATCCAGTGCCCTCACGGTTGTGGGCACTATTTGCGTGGTCGGTATGAGAGGATAGGAGAATGAGGAGGTTGAATGCGCCCCAGAGTGCTAGCGAGTAGAGGAGGCAGGCTTTCATCAAGTGGACGAAGGTTGCTAGCAGACTGGTTCGTGTGTGTGCTGAGGACAAGATCTGCTTGTAGCGTGGAGTTGGGTCATGACCTTCTTCGAGTAGGTGACAAGCAGACTCTTCCTCTCTATACATATTGTTGGGACGGATGAGATGAATGGCAAAAGGGATGAATTCCAAATGAACACTGAGACGTAGAATTGAAGCGACACGGACGCGCAACCGATCGTTGATATTGGGAAAGAGGCTACAGGTGTGGAAATGGAAGAGATCGGGTGAATGAATGACTTCCAGCGAAGTGGTCGGCCTGTATAGTATGCAATAGGAATGAGTGGAGACAGGCAGGTTATGGACAGTAAGATTACCTGTCCAGAGTCACACATCATCATGGGAGGTAGCGTCCACTACATAATGTCAAAAAAGGCCCAGCTGATGATCATACTACCACACACCTCGTCGCTGTGAAAATACTCTTGTCGTCACTGTGTACTTTAGCGACTACACCCTCCATGGCTCCACCAGACTACTCCCCCTTGAGCCCCGCAGCACACCGTCGTGGTATCAGCATACGAGCCCTAGTTAGCACCATTCTAGCCTCCCTCCTCCTCGGCCTCCTCGTCGGAATTGCGCTAACCACCGCTATCCACCCCCTCACCGTGCCCCAAGTCCTCACCAGCGCCCTCAGCCATGCCTTCACATCGTCCCCACCCGCGGTACCCGTGGCCGGGGGCTTCGTCTTTGACGCCCAAACCGGCGAGGCCAAGTGCGGTACGCACTGGACGGAAGCCAAGCGCCTCGGGTGCCACTTCGACGTGATGGCGTCGCGGTGGTACTCGCCTGACTGCTTTAACCAGGGGGTGCTGGACGAGATGCTGACCGAGGTAGACTTCAGGTGGTATGCTGATCGCGAGCATACCCAAGAGGTGGCTAGAGAGCGGGTGCTGGCAGGCGAGTTCGAGGCTGTCTACCCGGATAACGACTACCACATCATGCACTGCTTGTACCTGTGGCGCCGGTTACATTCTGCCGTGCTGGAGCACCGCTTTCTGGACGACGATGTGTACAGCTATGAGCATACGCTTCACTGTACACGCTTGATTATGCAGTGGCCACGGGGGCTGAATTCAACTACGATTGCGACGTCGGGAATTCCGTATTGTAGGGCGACGCCCATGTGAGGGGGGTTTGAGAAGAGGGGGAGGAAGATAGGAGGATAATGGTCAGAAGGGTTCTCTGAAAGGCAGCTTATCGTGCGGGGTTCAATTTGGAGAGTGATTGGGTTCGTTCCTTGAGTGAGATTTTAGGTCGAGGCTGGGAAGGATTATAGTTCCGATATCTTGAACCTCACATGTACTTCCAGGATTTGTGGGCCTTTAGCATGACACGGGAAGATATCTTACTCAGTTCAACTTCCATGCGTTGGTCCTGATAATGCAAGTTCTGATGTTACTGGCTAGCTCGTCTATTCCAGGATTCCCTTGCATGAATGGTTAGATCGTTTTGCATATCAAATCGTGGATGCTATAGGTGGATAATGCAGGAGTTATCGGAGTATATCAACAAGAAAATAAGACATAGACTCCCCACTGCCATGGCAGTAGTCATATAATACCGCTAGTGTCATAATAAGCGGGGTTGCAGACGAAGTATATTGAAAAGTAGCAGTAGGATAGATTTCGCTGAATATAAGATGCTATCTGAATGTGTTTCCATGTGCCGAGAACCATTTGGATTTTTGACTAAGAGAAAAATTCGAATCCTCTACCCTGATCTGAGCACTCGTTTTCTTCTACGATTCTCTCCACAATGAAGCTTCTCGCAACTCTGATCGCTCTCTCAATTGGCGTTTCTCAGGTAGCCGCCTTGGCGATACCTCGTTCTATGGCCTCAGGCCCAGTCGCCGAAGAAGCCGTGCCTACCTATGACAAGAGATCTATGGCTTCGGGCCCTGTCGCTGAAGAAGCGGTTCCCACATATGACAAGAGATCCATGGCCTCCGGCCCTGTCGCTGAAGAAGCCGTGCCTACCTACGACAAGAGGTCTATGGCCTCTGGCCCTGTTGCTGAAGAGGCAGTCCCTACCTATGATCGCAAGTGATTCAATCAGTGACGGTCAGTGAAGTTCTAGTTTCCGTCTTTGCTCATTGCTGACTCCCACAAGAAGAGCAGCTGGCAGCGCGGTGTCTTACTACAGCCGAACAGGAGAATCTACCAGCAATTGAATTTGAGTCTTGTTACGCAGGCAGAATGGTTTCCATAGCACCAAGTAGTTATTTGTCTGGATTGAATTGATACTAGTAGTAGTATAGGAATCAAGTGAGACTGAGAGTGCTACGTTAGTTACTGTTGGGTTTACTCTTACGTAGATGTGCGTGTTCTGAGTCTGACCAAGTAGGGACTAATTGAAAAAGTCTTGTGTACTACGTGATTAAGCCAACTTAATAACTAAAGACAGTGATGTGGATGGTAGTAAGATCCGAGATATGTTTAATAGATTGAGATATAATGCAGTGTCTAGTGTTCATCTTCAAGGCCCTCTCCATGTTCAGGAACCTTGAGAGGATCGAAGCTGTCCGGCAACAGTCGCTCTGTCAGGTTCCACATGGCCCGTTTATTAGCATACTCCGTCAGAGCATCAAAGTCGACACAAGAATGCGTCTGTCCCCATCCTGTACTCTTGGCCCAAGCCCCCGTCTCGCCCTCCAAGGTGGTGTCCGCGGAACACAGAATGCTCTGCCGAAGATATTCAACACAGTGAGCCCGATGCTCTACCTTCTGTGTCTCCAGCATCGCCCACTCTTCTCGAGAAGTGCCCAAGGCGGTCATCAGGATAGACTATAAGCAGAGTCAGTTGCAAATATTGGAGGTTCAAATGACGGCTAAGGAAGCTTACAAGACAGTGTAGCTGGTGATAAACCGCCATTATGTGGCCCTCATAGTGATCGCCTTGTTCGAAGACGTTGTCCATTTTGAATGCAGGGTGCAGGACTTCAAACTCTTCTTCCTCGGCGGATACAGTAATGTAGCCGCGACCAGCTTTGAGAATAAAAGAACACATGTAAGACCAAGATTTTTCTACATGTGTACAATAAGTAGTTGGGATTACTCACGCGGAAACAGGGAATGCCAGTTCCTATGGATCTCTTGCATCCTAGTCTTGTTCCACATCATTTCAGTGTCATGATAGACGAGATCGGGGCCAAGACCGGCGGTATTGCCAAATATGACGGGCTTTCGCGGTACTGATGAAATAAAGGGCGAATTTAGGCATCAGCACACAGAAAGCTTTTGAAAATCATGAAATCATATAGGGGGACTAGGTGATGCCTACGTGTTGGTCCAAAGCTTCTCTTGTCGACTATATCCGTTTTGTGGGAACTTCCGGCATTCGATATCAGAGCCACGACGAGGCAAAACACAAGGAAGCCTTCGAATAGTAAACGGGCATCTGCATATTTCCGAAAAAAGGTTGATGTCTTTGTTACTGGTGATGATGCGATTTTGGTCTTGGTTTCATTTAGCAAGCCAGTGAATGGAGAGACAGATTCGATGTCCTTGTCACTATTCTCGTCCCAGTTGTTGGGGGTGGGCAACATGGCTTCCATGATCAGAATTTGGTGAGAATCAAGGTTAGAATTGTCACGGACTGCGGAATATTATGACTGAGGGAAAGGTAGACGATTCCTGGCGATGCCCTGTGAACAATTATGTTTAATACGGGGCTCCGCTCGTTACATCCGTAATACGCGGTCATGCATATTGGGGCTTATCAGCAAGAACCCTTAAGGCGGGGATGCAATCAAGCCTCGTCTTGGCCTGCTTGTTTATCATGCCGTGATAACCGCGTAAGCACTAGTTGGCGTTAAGCCGGACCTCGCAATAATCTGCTCTCTGGGCAACCTCTGAAATCGGAGACGTGTCGTGCCCCTTAATGGCTCTTTCGCAGGTTCCAAGTCTAGTGCACGGAAGACTGCCTTCTTCCTTGGAGGAACCAGACGAGGAGGGAATCTGGACTCCCCTCCAGCTGGCCGCCGCACAAGGCAACCTACCCGAAGTGAAGGCTCTTTTGTCTCAGCCATCAAGCAACCCCAACGAGCCTCCCAGAGGTTACTACGGCCAGACTGCACTCCAGGCGGCCTCGCTCAACGGTCATCTTGATGTGGTCGAGACGCTCTTAGCCGCTGGGGCCGATGTGAATGCTCCCGGGGGCAACAACGGCGGCCGAACCGCCCTCACCCTCGCCGCAGGTGCCGGCCACTTCCAGATCGTTCGCCATCTAGTCATCGCCGCAGGTGCGGACGTCAAGCAGCCAGCCCACAAATACGTGGGGCGCACCGCCCTGCAGGCCGCTGCGGAGGGAGGCCATCTCGAGATCTTACAGTGGCTGTTACAACACCAGCCGGTTACGGAAATCAACGCGCCCCCCGCGAACAACCGGGGTCGGACCGTGCTGCAGGCCGCAGCGTTTGGTGGCTATGATGACATGGTAGAATTTTTACTTCATGTCGGTGCGGACGTGAATGCACCACCCTGCAGATACCATGGCGTTACAGCGCTTCAGGGCGCGGCCTTCAACGGTCACCGCACCACCGTCCTTCGACTCTTGACGGCCGGGGCGGATGTGAACGCTCCCGGGGGCCGGTACAATGGCTACACGGCGCTGGCAGCAGCAGCAGAAGGCGGCCATGCGGACATTGTGCGACTCTTGTTGGACGCCGGCGCAGATGTCGCCATGGTATCCGGAAATAAGAATTGGACAGCGTTGCGGTTTGCGGTGTGGCGGGGACAGAAAGAGATCGTGCGGCTTTTGAACTAGTTGATGGGACGTATTGCGAGGTATGATGAACGAATTGATGATAATTCAGAGAACAAAGGGGGGGAAGCAGGCTACTAGATGGCATTGAGACATAAGATAGATACGCCTTCAGTCAGTTATCTGTATTTACAGTAGAATACAAGATGGCAAGACTTGATTCCAAATAAGAACTTTCGTGATGTTTCTTCTTCGTGCACTTGGTGCTGGTGACCATGATTGACATTTGGTTTGCTAATTAGACAAATATCCCACACTCAGGATCACGGTTCACGCTAGCAGCGGTGAAGTGTTCCAAATGTGATAGGCTATTACCTGTTAGGATATGCAGGATGTATGCAGCACGGTTGCATATAGGATACAATAGACGTATGCATTACCTGACGTAACAATGAGAATTATTCCCACTTTCATCAATTTATTTCATATATTATTGAACGGGCCCATTCGGTAGACACTGTATTGCTATATCTCTAGTGCTTGGGCTGATTTGCTTCGCAATCTCCATAGTTATATGGAGCATGGATAAAAGAGTGACCTAAGACTTCTGTTTTGCTTTTTCCGCAGACCGGTCAATCGTAAATATATGAATACAATTTGCACATATAGTAGGAGATTTGCAATTTCAATGGGATATAACTGTTGGCACGGAAGCTGTGGATAGCTCTCAGTCAGTCCAAGGAGCTTTCGGCCACCCAGAGTGGTGGAGGAGCAATCTCAGATCATCCAACTTTGTCCTCGATTATCTTATTGTTCGTGAACATACGAGAAACTCCGATAAGTTATCCCGTAGAACAATACGGTATATCATGGTATCAGTGTGATTTCATAGTGGTGCTGGATATTGGACGAATCAGTTCACCGCAGTGAAGACTACATGATCTTACTGCCAACAGTAGGCATGCTGGCGATGCGTCAGCGACACTACTGCACAGGACTTATGAAAGTATCGTCTACATAAAGACCGTTTGTGCCCTTTGTTCAGTTGGTCTTCTCTCTCCAGATAGATCTCGTGCTCTGGTATTTCCAACCATAGTCCAAAATGGAGTTTTCCAAGTTGCTCGACTTGGAAAATTACCCTTTTCAGTATTCTTACCCTTGCGATCCAAAACACTCGCCACCCGACAGATTCTTTAGCCAGCTTCCCTTCCGCACCTCAAGGTTAAGAGATGACTTTGTGGAACTTTCTGCAAGCTACGATGGCGATCTGGAAGGACATGATATTTCAGGGAGGGGTCATTACATGCATTGGTTGATGCCTGAGTGCCCGCCGAGCTTGGCTGATGCTGTATTGAAAATATGTGATGCGAGTATCTTGTGGAATGGTGTGTCCAAACTTGAAAACCTTCTGACAACCAACGATTATGCTAATAATTAGACCGAACGGGAATGGTTTCCGGACTTGTAGGTGATAGGGACATCAACGTCGAATAACAAAGACTGAGAGCACATAGTCCGATCAGCATACAGCGGATATACAGCTCGCCCTTATCTCCCTCTTCAAACTAGGAAAGCCTGTTGTCGTTCCTGGATTGGAAGATATGGAGGCTGGATTACAACATTTTGCTTCCCTTGACAAGTCATACCTCGAGGACGTTTCCAGTCGCATTCACGAATTTACTAAGGCTCGAAGTTTGCCTATTGATAACCTCACACTTGACGCTTACATAGAACAACGGAGCATTGGTTTTGGGTTGAGGTTCGCTTGTTACCTTCGCATTTCATGAATTGGGGCTAATCGTATCAGCGTCATGGTCCCCTGGCTCCGTGCTGCCCACGAAATCGAGATTTCTAAGGAGGAAGAAAAATCCATCATGCAAATAATCAAAAAGGGTAGTTCTGTTTCGGCACTGACGAATGACTACTACAGTTTTCATAAGGAGTATGACGACGCAATTGGAACTGGACAATCGCCCAAGCCATATAATGCAATTAGCGTTCTGATGTGTGACTACGCATATTCCGAAGACGAAGCATTTCAAATCCTAAAACGGGAGATTCTCGCTCAGGAAGTTCAGCTTATGGAAATGGTTAGTATTTGGCTATCTGCTGAGCAGAGATCAGAGGATTTGCGAAAGTTAGTGACTCTCTATATCCTCGCTTGTGGAGGTCAAAACTACTGGGCTTCATTCAGTCCCCGTTATATCAAGTCTCATTACGTTGCGACCAAAGAGGAACGGTCCCATCTGGTGGGTAGGTGTTCGCACCCTCCCTGGACACTCCCTGCATACCCCCCACCACAAAATCGAAAGGGAAGGTCTGTTCAGTCAGAAATTGATTCTCCCTTGCGGGACAATAAACCAAGTATTTTACTTGACTCAACCGGTGGCTCCGACAGCAATTCCAGGATTTTACATGACATGAGCCGTTTTATCGAGCCATACGCAGGTCCTCCAGGTGAGAGTATTGCATTGCAACCGCTTGAGTACGCCGAGAGTGTTCCAGGGAAGAAATACTGGTCTGAGTTCTTGCGGGCGATGAATGTCTGGCTTCGGCTGCCTGCCCAGTCAATCAAGTATATGGACACCATTTTTGCTCACCTGTGTGCTTCTAGTGTAATGTAAGGTCACCCCTCCTGTCTTTTTCCTTCTTTCTTTTCTTGGCCGAACGCAAAGCTGATCATCTGAAGGCTGGATGATATTCAAGACGGGTCGGATCTACGACGGGGGCAACCTGCTACACACATATTATATGGAGAAAGCCAGACTACAAACAGTGCATTGTACGGTATTGTAAAGGCGTTAAGTCTCGCTGCCAGTACAGACGGAAAGCATTCACAAATTCTACTTGGTGGGGACTTTGTCAGCGAAAGTGAGACTTGAGCTAATTCTTTCCTACTAGAATCGTTGTCCGACAGTATCCGAGGCCAGGCTCTAGAGGTTCATTGGAGATATCATGCTAGATGTCCAAGCAACATGGAATACATCAATATGGTTGACTGTAAAACTGGAAGCTTTTTCAGATGCGCCCTGCGGCTCCTGGAAGCTGAAGCTGGCACAAAGGCGATACCAGAGCTGCACCATCTAGTCACATTGTTGGGACGATATTTTCAGGTGTATAATGACTACCGAAACTTATCGGACGATAAGGTACGACCTACGCTCAAGGTGTCGGATACATAATCACTAAGATTATCCACAGTATATTGCAACAAAGGGGTTTTGTGAAGACTTATCCGAGGGAAAGTTCTCACTTCCTTTGATACATACTTTGACGCATTCTCCAGCTACTACGGCTATATACCAACTTATGTTCACACGCCGCAATGGTCTTCCCCTTACGGATCAGCACAAGTCTTTCATATTGTCGAAGATGAAGTCTGCCGGGAGCTTGCAATATGTCGCAGACATACTTACCAACTTGAATGATGAGCTGCTGTCGCACTTGGATGTGGTTGAGGTTAAACTAGGAAAGAACAGTCTACTCCGGGCTATGATCATTGCAGTGAGGATGTGACCTCCGGGTAATGGGGAAAGATGGTTCTTTGAGTTTCTCTTCTTATGATGAAACGCCTGAGGTTCTGGCGGCGTCGAGGTGCGTTTGCTCTAAATTAGCGATTTTTGAACAAATCCTTCTCCTAGATTCGTAGTTGCCATGTAGTATAATATGTACTGTTTGAATACTGGCGAAGATAGCCATGGCTGTTCGGTATGAGCGTTTGGTGAAAATTACTACACGCAAATGTCTTGGGCCAGGTACATAAATGAGAAGCCCAGTTGTATGATAGACTTATACTTTAGTGCGCTTGAGGGAATGTCAATTCTATAATGTTTTTAATTGATTTTTCAGCACTGCAGGTTCTATTTTTCAAGCAGATCTCTAGACTTTTAAAATCATCTTCGGTTATTAAAGTAGATTAGATCATGTAACTAAGTACCAAGTGGGGATCATTTGATAAGGCATGAAGGCCGAGGTCTCACACGTGGCAGGCAAAGCATGATCTAGCCACATGATCAAGCCTACTAGTATTACTGCTTCAATATGTAGCAAGTTGGTGAGCCCAATACGGTCATTGGCATCTAAATTCCTATTGTATGTTGAGCCTGACAAGAGATTGATACCGGGCTTCCCGAACCACAGCTTTCTTATTCCTGTGGGTTGATGAAAACCTTTCGGCCGCTGATGTGACCTTCATACAGGAGGTCCAATGCCTTCTGGGCGGAGCCAAGCCCGCCTTCCAGCCACAATGCCGGACTCGGCCACATCGTACCTTTCTTCAGTGCAGCCGGTAAATACGCTTCCATGTACCATGTGCGCAGTTGTTGATGGGCAGCCTCAGATACGAGGGTCTCAGAATATCCGGCCCATACCTTTACTATACCAGCAGGGATGGTCTCATCCCCAGGGGAAGGGCTGGTAGAAAAGAACCTGCCCCCTGTTTCGCGTAGCAATGCCACCATGCGTTGGGTTGTTGTGGTGGAGCCGATCGCCTCGAAGATTCCCTCGTAAGGCCCATTCTCCCGAATTTCGCGGATTACGTCTTCGTCGGAGCGGCTATGGTCGATGATATGCGTCGGGTTGCGTTTCTCCACCATGGATCTGTTGGCCGCGGACGAGGTAGTGACAACGTCATACCCAGCATTGATCGCATATTGCACCGCGAGGCCCCCAACCGCTGATGAACCGCCGTATACGAGGATTTTCTTTCCTATGGGTGGTGTCGTGCCGGTGACTGGCGGCTTAGAGAGGCCCATGTAGATGGTGAGGGCGGAGACCACGGTCGCCAGATTGGCGATCAGACCGGCGGCATCGGCAAATGTGGTCTCGGGCTCTAGTCGCAGGGTGTTTTGCTCGAGTGCCAGTGCATACCTCTGGAGGGCCCCAAATCGGGGATCCTCGCCTGCTTGCTGGCCCCAGCGAGCCACCACCACCCGGTCGCCAGGTTGCACGGAATTAATCTCGGGCCCTGTAGAGACTACCGTTCCCGCAAAGGTGAATCCGAGGATGAGGGGGTATTGAGATTGGAATAGATCCAACCTGAGATTTTAGTTTGACGGCCAGCTGGCAGATATTCGGGCACGGTACCTCTGGATTTTGGCGTCAATGGGGTTAAAGCTAGCTGCTTCAACCCGAACCAAGAGTTCCCCACGGCCAGGAACCCATTGCTCTACAGGCTCGACCTGAACTCGCCCATATGGGGTTTTGACCCAGCCTGCTTGGTTCGACATATTTTCATGCAGTCATGTTGAAGAAGATCAAAATTGGCCAGAGAATGAGGCTTCGGTTAAGAATCTGGAAATCCCCTGACTCGTGACGTGAACTAAAGATGGAAATGATTTATTACCGATCCAATTGCCGGCACGCCCGATGGTTGCATGACATAATCACGTGATTTGCATTTATAATCCTTTACTGAAAGATCAGTTTTGACATTTCAATTTGGACTTCCCTCTTGAAAATACTTAAATTGTGGTGTTCGTGCTTATTGTATAGCGTCGGTATGGATGAAGCATTATCATGGTTATCTAGTGGTCTTAGAATCAGAGCACCAGCTTGATATCCTGTGCCAGCAGTATTAATCTTGTATATAATGGTGTATGTTAATGATAGTACAAGTCTTTGTATTATCTGGGACAAAATGAACAAGCACCAATGGCGTCCGACCATCAATTGCAAGTGGCAAAATATGAGGTGAACCCCATTCTACTGTCACTCTGATCGCTAACATAGTCACAGAGAAAATCTCGAATTTTAGGACAACCATTCTGACGTCCCCTATTTTCAGAAGGTTTCTATGGTTGTAAGCACCATCAATAGTGCAGCGGGGTCTCCACGCATTCTATATTAATGCTGCAATAACCAGAAACTGATAGCTTCTATGAAACCCCAACAGGGGTACACGTGCCAGTCGTACTACTGTACTACCGGTTCATCCAACTTGTCAAGTGTTTGGTCGACAAATATGACGATGAAAAATGCTGACTGAGATACTCAAGATCACTTGAGATTGTAATAATGTGAACTATAACCTTGTTTGAAGTATTGATACAGGCCTTATAACAGTGAAAGCATGACAGTCCTTGACATATGGAGACTGTTATCAGACCTCGGGGTTCACCCATGGGTCCCATCTTCGCCATGCTTCCCCACCCCTCTATGTTCACTAGAACAAGGAATAGATATATGCTTTACACCAATAGAGAACGCCTTGATGGTAACAGCACTAGTATTTGGTGCCATATTCGTTCTGCAAAGCTCACTAGTGGGTTTGACTTGTGGAAATGCAGAACGGTGACCTTGTAAAGCTTTTCTCATACAATCCCCCCTGCTGCACCATGGTATCTTACAGTCATCATATCAAAATCCAACTGCCATATACTATCGTCCCGTGGCTATACCGATGTTCTGATCACATCACCATGGTCGATACGGTTTATAAATAAGGGGATGAGTGGCCTGATCAGAAATTGTTTCATGGACTCCGGCACATCCTTAGGAAAAGGAAGGCGAGTGCCTTAAACGTAAATCACCCCGAAAGCGGAAGGATAGCTCTTCAAGGATACGCCATTAGGTAGTTGGGGCCTTGCACATAGGGTCAGGGATGGCTATAACAACGGGTTTCACTACTTCGGCAAACTCATATGCTGTTCTGCTCGCTTACCTCCTCTTCCCCGTCATTCTCCACTTGGTTCGTCAACGCCCGCGCCTGGCGCCGTCCCTTAATCAATCTGACGCGCAGGCCTTTCCAGTCAGGGTGCGATCGTCACCGCCAAGCGCTTCGGACCCCTTGATTGTATGTGGGCCTATGCACTGATTGCTCGCCACGATGTTACCATTAGCCCATGCTGGAATTCCATTGGGATATAAAGATATCGGTACCTGCCCCTAATAGTTCTTTGACGTTCAGACAACACCATGCGCGCCAGCATTCTACCGTTGACTCTGTTCTTGGCCACTCTGGCCGGGGCGCAACTCTCCGGCCCCGTTGGCCCGCTAGTGGACTACAGCACCAAAGCCAGAAACCAGACCTGCAATATCATCGATTACGGGGCTGTCGCAGATGGTAAAACGGATATATCGCAGGCTCTACTTGATGCCTGGGGAAACTGTTCCGTGGGGGGACTGGTCTACATCCCACCCGGTAACTACTCGCTGGCCGAGGACATTGAGCTCAAGCACGGCCAGTCCTCTGCAATTCAGCTAGACGGTGTGGTTATGCGCGGACACCGCGGCTCGTACCAGATGATCCTTATCCGTGACTGCAATGACTTCGAATTTTTCAGCGGCAATTCCCGCGGGGCCATTCAGGGCTTTGGTTACGAATATCTGCAGAATGACACCTACGGCGAGAGACTCTTGCGCATCCAAGAGGTTAACAATTTCTCGGTGCATGGATTCGCACTAATTGACTCGCCTTCCTACTACATTGTTTTCGATACGGTCACCAGTGGGGAGGTATATAACATCTTGATCCGCGGCGTGACATCTGTGGGAGCGACAGATGCTATCGACGTATGGGGAGAGAACATGTGGTTCCATGACATTGAAGTGAGCAACGGCGATGAATGTGTCACCGTCAAGTCTCCGGCGCACAATTATCTGATTGAGAACATCTACTGCAATCTCAGTGGTGGGACCGCGATTGGATCCTTAGGCACGGGCACCAACATTTCCGACATCCACTACCGCAATCTCTACATGAACCAAGCAGATGCGTGCTTTCTGAAATCCAACAATGGGGATGGGATTGTCAAAAATATCATCTGGGAGAATGTCATAGTCCACGGCGGTCCGTACCCGCTGGCCATAGACGAGGCCTGGGGAGATGATCGAGGATCCGTAGGAGTTCAAGTGTCCAACCTCACATTCCGAGTAAGTACACGATAATATTTCAATGTCTTAAGAGATCCTAATTTGCTTTGTTATATAGAACTGGCACGGAGAATCCGTGAGCGCCTCACGCCCAGTCATCCGCCTACAATGTGACTCCGACGTCCCGTGCTACGATATTACCATCGAAAACGTGAACCTGTGGGCCAACGACAGCAACTATGTGGTTTGGCAGTGCGAGAACGCCTATGGAGATGGGGCCTGTCTCTCTAGTGCAGAGGGAACAAAAGATTTGGAAACCTTTACCAGCAAACAAACTATAACTGCCACCCCGTATGTGACTTGTCCATTCTTTTCCACGGAAATTGCTAACAAGAAGATAGGTCCTATGCTGCGCCAACCATGGCAGCTGACTTCACCTTTAATCTGCCATCAACGAGCCCTTTTACTATTCCTCCCATGCCGACAAGTTTCTACCCCGGTGCTACTCCCATCTCAACCCTCTTGCATCTACATGGTGCGGGCGGTCTCCCATCAGCATCTCCCATTTCGCATCATCGACGACACCAATGACTTGCCTGTGTGATAGTAGATGATTGATCCACAGCATTTTGTCAGGCGGGTCGTTTACAGGCTCCGTTGTAAACGTCGGGTGAAAGCAGCGGTTACTCAAGGCTAATAGAATCCAGCTGCGTAATTCGTATTCTCAATAAAGCATGTGCCTTTGAAGATGGGTTTGGATTAAAGCTAGCTTGTATCAAGAAACTATACTAATTATCCCGTCACTCGAATGATAGTAGCTATCACCAGGATCTTCCTTCCGTTGCAACTTATATTACAGGTCCGCATGGCAGCTTGTATGGCGGTGAAGGAATGGGGGCTTCGCATATTGGTGCGGGTTAACGTAGATTTGCCCCCAAAATTCCGTGGTCCTGACAATTTAAAGTACTGGTAGCTTATAGCAATCAGATAACGGCATAAATACCATGCCCAGAAAGGCTTATAGTAGGATTAGGATTAAAGGTCAATAAGCTTGTCAATTGATATATGTTCGTCCAAGCGGTTCTCACGGGTTTGTTCCATCTTCGATGAAACAAACATCTCGAGCTCGTCCAACTCCTCTTCTGACAAAAGTGAAAGTCTATCTTCAAGAAAGCCCTGTCCAAAATACCTTTTGTCAAGCAATTGCCAATAGATATCATCGAACATGAAGCTTTTCCTTGCAGCAAGGCAGAACCAAAACAGCCCATTCTCCATAGACTCTGACATGCGGCCCGATAGTCGCTGATACTCCTTTATTGCACCCTTGTGTATTTGCTCGTCCTCGCATAATCGGAGTGCATTGAGGAATAGATGCAAGCGTGGTGTATACCGAGCCAAAAAAATACATTCAAGTCTGTCTCCCAGGCCTCGGGGCACTCGAAGAGAAGCCACCAGGGTGCAGTAAGGGCGAATTCGGCCGGCGCAACATAAGTGAATTCCCAATCAATAACACCGGTCAGTGTAAGGTTCTGTCCCGCAACAAGTATATTAGATGGACGCAAATCGTCACAGTATAGCTGGAATGGGCCCGACTGCTCCCTTTTATACCCCCGGGCGATTTTCCTGAAAAGGCAGCGGGCTATGTATCTTTTCCGACAATCTTGCTCATCTTCAACAGCATCGTTCCGTTGGTACTGAAGGTGAAGAAGCTGCTGTCTAGCGAGTTCCTCGAAATATCCGCCCGCGGTAGTGAATGTCCTCTCGGCAAAGATGCCCAGGAGGAAGGTTTCCGACGCGAACCAGTTCGTTCATATTGAGGATTAGTGGACTTTGATCTACTTTCCACGCCCGTGACCCCTCTGCCAGAGCTCCGATCGCTGAAAAGGTGGGTTTAGACAATTCCAAGATGACTTGCGCCATCACGCGGTAGGCACTTTGAATGTCGGAGTCGGAAACATTTGGATGCAAGCTGGACGACTGAATTGTGGAATCTCCGAGGTGCTTGGACAACAGCGTTCCCTCGATGAAGGTCATGACAAGGCCCGCATCCCCAACGACCCATCCCAGGAATGCGGGGGACAGGGAGCGCGGTATTTTGAGATAGGAGTTTCATGGCCAAGGCCTCATTTCGACTCTTTTCCGTCCGAAACCGGCTTCTACCCAAGAATGGGAACCGAACCAGTGCACGAAATCCATTTTCAAAGGTGAAAATGCAGCAGATGTTGTAAGCGCCAGTGGTAAACCCCAAGACATCAGCTACCCATGCAATTCCACGACGATGCTGGGCTGCGAGTCTTGACGGCAAGGCAGGGGACTGCACGGAAATTAATTGTAACCACCCGGCAAACAACTTGTCATTATATTCCTCCGCAAGATGGTCCCAATCCATGATCATCAGACTCGTCGGTAGGACTCGAGCCATAGCTGGATGGGGCCAGGTTGGGATTTGTCAGTGCGTAGCGAGAGTCGCCGTTTGGCATCCAGTGGAGAGAGCAACGCCCTTGTCATGTGATAAGCATTAACCGCCGTAGGTACCTTGGGTCTGATTAAGTTTGAAGAAGAAAGCTGGGAAGAAACAAGTCTACAGCACATTAAGTAGGCATTGATTAAATGATGTTTCTCTAAAGTAGCACTAGTATTTCAACTTGACCTACCCGGTATTACTTAGAGCACAGCAGTAAGATTCACGAAACCAAAACAAGAAAAGATCGATGGCCAAAAGAGTAGTCTTTTGGTTGGTGTGGCAATCTCGATGAAGAATGTTGTCTGCTGGACGCGGCTAGAACACTGCCCTACCCTCACGTAGTCCAAACGGCTCATCTAAGCGCTCACCTATGCACACACCCCAGAAGCTTCGTCCGGATGGATCATGTCATTGTCAATCCAGGTCATGTAATTCCAGTAGTCAGCCTGTGTACCTTGGCCGTCGACGGTTGCATTCCCCGAAAACTTGGCATTCCAATAGGCACTCCCCTGGGAATCTTTCGCAGAAGCATAGAGCCCGGTGTTGAGAGCTTCATCTCTGTCAGCAAAGGAGTTATTGTACTGTGCCTGGATCGACCATTCGCCGACAAATACGGGAAATTTGCCATCACCGGCTCCATTCTTTGCATCGGCACAGATGTAGGTCGTAATATTCTTACCGGTTGCTCCTCGTCCGGCAAAATAATAGTTGTGCACATCGAATACCAGGTTAGCGGATGTAGAGAAGTTGGGTGACCAGTACTCCTCGCCTCGGAAACTGCCTTGGAACATGACCGGTATATCCGGGCTGATCACCTCAACCTTGTCCAGTACTGCCTGAATGTACTTCAAAACCCAAGCTGCGCCTTCATCGGATAATGCTTCTGGACTCCCGAATGCTGACATATCTTTATTGTCGACGGGCTCGTTGATAGGCTCAATAGTATAGGATCCAGGATTGCTGGAGTTCTGAATATAGGCAATGACGGAATCGATAGCCTGAAGCGAGTAATCCAACGCCGTTTGGTTGTTGAACCATCCGTAATGTCCTGTTGCCTCCCCGAACGCCTTACCGTTCACTCCACCTGGTAAGGAGTGTACATCGATGATGATATGCATGGAATACCTAGTGATAGCATATGTTGCAATGTTGTTCAGAAAGGATACCTGGTTCCCAGAGTACAGCTGGGACCCGGGCACTTTGACCCAAGCAGCATATGTGGTGGGGATACGCAAAGTGTTCACTCCGGCGTTCGCCAACGTATCGATATCTGAGGTGGTGATATAGGTCGCATATCTTCGCTCAAGAATAGGACCACACTGGGAGCCTTGATTCACACAAAGGCCCCATTCATCGTCCGCACCCTTGGAATATTGAGCCCATCAAGTAGTATCGATGGTGCTTTCTTGCTCAAGCCACCCGCCCAGGTTCACACCGTTGGCGATGTAAGTAGTCCAGTTGAGATATTCCACTGCTGCGAGAGCGAAGCCAGCTTGGAGCAGGAAGGTGGGAAGTAGCTTGACCATTGTTTCCGCGTTCTGAATGAGGATACCTTAGACAAACGATTAATTCGAGAGGTAATTGATAATGAAGATGATGCTTGTTGTAAACGGGACATGGTGTCTTCTATAAGTCCTCCATCGCGATGTTCTATAGCTGATGTTCATTACCGTAATGGTGACAACACGGAAGCTTCTCCGTGTATGTTTGTGGAAGACCACCGAGGTTCTCTACATGAGACACCTTTGCTTCCCATCGTCGCTACGGGGTGTATGAAACCATAAAGGCTCGGGCTATCATTTTGCCGAAAAATGGATGAACGTTGATTCTTTTAGTTTTAACCGATGTATATTTCTCAAAGGCCTTTCCACGGTCAGCTGCCTGCATATTCCTCCACATCCCGAAACACACGGACATGGAGAAATCGAGGTCACTTCAAAGGATAGCCAATGAGACCAGCAAGGCTGATGGAGCTTGGCAATGTCAGTAGCCTTAGCTCTTACCCCTCTGAGTCTGGCTAGTACTCAAAACACACCCATACTACCTCCTACAACAGACGCCTTTCAGCAAAAGGGATTGATTGTACCAGTTACCGGGTCCGAGGATCGTTCGGATTGGATGTGGTTTCGTCGGGGAAAATTATCCTGGATTGCGTACTGTCTGCATAGAATGAAAATACTCTTTATGAGTATATATTCTGATGCAGTTTGGAAACGCAGAGCTATGCACGGAATCATCAGAAGTACGATTGCCCAACAACTTTGATGAGGCATTTGCCGCGACGGACCCCGCGGGCACCGAGTGCTAAGCTTCCAACTCAGGGTCTGATGCGGATCTGCAGTGGAGCCGAAGAAGGATCCCGCATGCAGTCGAAGATGATCCTCATCTTAGTCCACGGAGCATATGTGTGCATGGGTTCTACGGTAAGGTACCTTGTCTTGGTTAACGGGATCTGGATCACTCGGTTGGTATCGCGACGTGTGTTTGGCTGTATGGCGTTCCATCCGTACGCCCGGCTTTTATCCCTACACTTAGCCGCCGCGTAAACGCTTGGTCAGATTAAAGACCAGTCTGGGATGCTAGAACCTCGTACACAATGCTCTGATAGTTTTCATAATGTTCGTTGCCCTCTCCTACCGACACCAATGAAATCATTTATGGGCAACGGAAAGTCTGTCGATCTCGAATGTCTCTAGCGAATACGCGACGATGAATGGGCTACTGGATGTGTGGCGCTCTTCAATTAATGAGACTGTCTAATATCACATCATCTCACCTTCTAGGCAGAATTATTTTCATTCGCATTTTATTATTCGTCAAAGACAGACTGCCGTTCAGAAAGCCGTCGGAATGTCTGCGTGTCCGTGCGACGGGAGAACCAGCAATAAACCTGGCTGGCTCAGCAGGCAGCGCTAGGATCCTTGGACAGGCCTTTTCGATTGACAAGGTAAGCCCAGACCTACATATTTACTGCCATCTGTTTCATTCCACGCCCATCCACCGGGCGCTCCGCCTTGACCTTCCTCGCCAATACCCGTCCACTCCTGTGTTTCTCACCGTGAAGACTCCGCGGACGCCCCGGTGGTTCTTGGTCACAAATTGAGCTCACATGTAGGTTCTGTTCCCGTTGGGGAGGCTTTACCCCTGGGAGCGGGGTCGAGTGATTTCGAAGGAGGTTGCGCCCCATGAGTGCACGTAGAGCTGATAGTCGATTAGATCTTGACAATGCGGTTTGTGGGGCGATGACGGAGCACAAATGACTCCATGCTCATCCGCTCGGGCTCTAGTCATGTTGGTGTAGGCATAGAACATGAACAGTGCCCAAGAGCACCAGATCATGTGCAGTAAGACGCACGCACAGCGACAACAGGGTCGTCCGCCTTCAATATGGAAGCAAACAGCTTTTTACAAGCTTGGCAACAACACCTATTCACCGAATGTATGCCTGTGCGTCAGGCAGGAGGGCTAACTTCCCCAAGTAACGCATTAACATCTCGTGGGATCGCGTTGTGGACCTCAATCATGGCTTGACGCACTCGTTGCGTGGCAGCAGCAGCAATGGGCCAGGTTTGTCCGATGGACTTGAGAACACCGAGGTTGAGAGCCAGGTATTGTCGCTGGCTCGTCCCAGAAGAATGCAGGCTCTCGCTGAACATAGCGGCAACTTGGATGACGGAACTGAGGACCAGGGTGCAGGCAAAGAAAGGAGTATGATTGATGACAGAGGTGGACAAGGCAGCTAGCTGAGATAGTCTGACAGACCCCTCAATAACCCTGTGGGTGTGCACTTGCGGGTCCAGGGTCGTGGTGACAAACAAGGCCGGGGATGAGCACATGATCTGGCCTGTGACGGGCAGGAATGCGAGCAGACAGGAGCGTGGGAAGTGCAAATAGATGGTTGCGCAGTGCATCAACATCATCGCCTGTGTCATCAGCTCATCCTGCACGCCGTTGAGTTGAAGCATGCACCGTCGGCGTGGTGGCAGTCGATGGAACCAGGCGATGTTGGCCGCGTTCAATATGTTTAGTGCCTCCTCACTGACGTGCGTCTGACCGGCTCGGAGGCAATTGCGAAGCAGCAAAGCAGCCTCAACGCGGTAAGCGCCCGGGGAGAATTCCACATCACCGCAGAACAGACCGTTTTGTTCCAAATCCGCCAAAGTGGACGGAAAAGGATTGGGGTCGGAGATGACGTCGCTCGCCTGATACTGACTGGAGTCACCGGGAAGAGGCGTGGTGGGTGTTTCTTCCATGTGGAACTGCAAAACCCCATCGACCTGGACAGCCGCCAGCAGCACATCGATCACGACAATCTCCCACCAGGTGCGCCGTAGACTCTCAGCCTGGAACGGAGCATCCACACGGATGGCGTCCGAGGTCTCCCGACGGTGCAAGCCCAGGTCCAGTGCACCCTGCAGGGCCTGTCCCAGACATGAGCGGGCCTCATGGGCCTGCTGTCGCCCGTGATGTACAATGGTGAGGAGCAGGAAGGCCTGCACCTTTTCGATGGTCAGTTCCGCAGCCTGCACGGCCAGACCAAGAGACTCGCTGCTATCCTGAAACAGCTGCGGGGACAAGTAATGAAGGCTGATAAACTCCATAATGTCTAGCAGGAACGCGGGCGGCTCCGACTCGAGAAGAAGTTGCATGGGGGCCAAGAACGGATGGGCTTGGTGAAAGTGGAGATAATACAGAGAGATCAGCTGCAGCCCTTGATCGCAATCCATGGAGCCCGCATGCTGGGGGTATTCCAGGCTGTGGCACTGCCCGAAGGGACCTGTCGAGAAAGAGATGGGATCCAGCGGTAGTGAATTGGAGTTAAGAGTGGACAGGCTGGCGGTATCGTGGGGAACTGCTGCTGCTGCTGCTGCTGGGCGACACTTACGACCACGACGGGAGGGCACGAAGCGGCAGGTGAGCCCCAAGGACTGGCAGCGAGCACAGCCAGCCAGATTGCCGTCGCATTTGAGATGTTTTTCTCGGCAGCCTAAACAGGCCACGGGGGCGGTAAGATCCATGGATGATGACAAAATACAATGGGTGCGACGCTATGGTTTTGGTGGTAGAGGTTATATGTTGGATAGAAATACTGATGAGGGGGGGCAAGAAGCAATTGCTGACGCTGACGGGGGAAAGTCCTATGCAGCCAATTAGTAACCACTAATTAAATAAGTTAGTTAGTTTAGTTAACGTTAGTGTTAGCAACCGCTTCGTAGTTGGTCAGAGACTGCCGGATATTCATTCCTCCGATGACTACAAACCTACTAGACATTCATATTGTCTACAATGGCCATTACTCACATTTATGTAAAATACTTGTCATTCACTAGCTTCGGAAAACTACTCTAGTGTTCCCTGCCTGGTGTCTTCTCCCTCTGCCACCTCAATCTCCAATTCCGCATCAATGTGGCTGCTACTTCGACCAACCCAGCAGGCATACTTGCCCGCATCCAATCGCCACTGCGCCACCCGAGCATCGTACCAGCTCAACTCGGATCCCCGGATGGGGATTGACACTTCGCGCGAATCTCCCGCCGGTACAGAAATCTTACAGAAGCCCCCCAGAGTCTTGGGGAAGCTCATCTCCCCAGCCTCCCGGATCCCGGCTGACGGCGCTACATATACCTGGACCACCTCTTGGCCGTCGCGGCCTCCGACATTGCAAACGCGCGCCTGGATCAACACAGGCTGAGACTCCGGGGAACGTCCCTCCACGCGACCGCAGACACGAATGTTGGTCAGCTGAAACCGCGTATACGAAAGACCAAAGCCAAAGGGCCAGAGGGCAGGGATCCCCTGGGCATCGAAATGGCGATACCCGACGCGCACCCCTTCTCCAAAGGTGTTGCGGTCTTGAGCAGCCTCTCCCGGGAACCAGGCGTGGGAGCCATGGTCCTTGAGTCGTCTGGGAAAGGTAATGGGGAGTCGACCGCTGAAGTCGCAGTCGCCGAGCAGGGCGGCCGCCAGGGCATGCCCGTTTTCCTGCCCCTGATACCAGGCCATCACCAGCCCCGAGGCAGCATCGACCCAAGGCATGGCCACGGCGCTGGCCGACTGCACGACCACGACGGTGTTGGGATTAGCGGCACAGACAGCGGCGACCAGCTCGTCTGTGCGACCGGGAAGCTGCATCGTTGCGCGGTCGCCTCCTTCGCCCTCCGAATCCTTGTTGTGGCCCACCACCACCACCGCTACATCGGCCTGCCGGGCGGCCGCCACGGCCTGCGCCAGCATTTCCGGCTCATCCTGCTCCAAGGCCAGGCCAACCCGGACCCCAGAGATCCGCGGGAACAGCGTATTGTCGAACGCCTCTACCACTGGCAGCGTGACCACGTTGTCCACCCGCAGCTGGTAGGCGCGGCCCGCTTCCAGATACACGCTGGCTGTCTTATCTGCGCTGGAGCAGCCCAGAAATCCGCCCGTCAGACCAGTCCACTCCGTGTTGTCGATTAACAACTCGTCATTAACGAATAGCTTGGCTTTCCCGGTGTTCGCCAGGCTCCAGGTATAGCGACCCGACTCTTGCGGAGTGACCACCCCGGTGGCACGGTAGGAGTATGGCCGGTCGTCCAAAACGGCCGGGACATCACCATCACTAAATAGATAGATGAGCGAGTCGTCCCACATACTGGACGCTACCACGGGTCCCTCCAGCGCATGCCCCTCAAAGAAGCTGACCTGCCAGCCCTTCCGGGACCCGTCTGGGACAGTCAGAAGCTTTCCCAGTAAAGGCGGACGCAGGCTGCTCGGGATCCCCGGCTCGTAGGAGACCTGCAGCTCTGAGTTGGCCGCATGAAGGACGTCGCGCAGACAGGATTCCGGAGTCGAGACGTAGAAAGGGTTGACAGCGGCGCTGCCGGCACCGCCCGCGGTGGGTTGACAAGCGTTGGGCCCAATAATGGCGACTCGCTGCAGCGTGGTCGGCTTGAGAGGCAGGATCCCCTTGTCATTCTTGAGCAGGACGAGCCCACTTTGGGCCGCATCGCGCGCGATTCGGTGAAAGATGGGGTCATCCGTAGCTGCTTCGGAGTGTTCGGCGGACTTAGTAGCGTCTCCTAACAGGCCTGTGCGCTCCAGGAGTTGCAAGAATCGGCGGACACTCGGGTCGACATGCGCGGCCACCTCGACCTCCCCAGCTCGGATGGCAGCCAGCAAGCGTTCTCCGCGGCGGACGGCTGGACCCGGCATCTCGAGGTCAGTTGTGGCGCGCAGGCTTTCAGCTGTACTATTCAGCCCTCCCCAGTCGCTCATGACCAGGCGGTCAAATTGCAGCTCTTGCCGCAGTAGACGGGGTAGAATGTGTGGGCTGATGTCGGCGTGCAGGCCGTTAATCTTGGGATAGCTAACCATGGCCGTCCAAGGCGTGCTAGCCGGGTCGTTGAGAACCATCGTGAACGGCTTCATGTAGACCTCTCGTAAAGTGCGTTCATCAATGGTTTGATCAACGTTGAATCGCCGCGTTTCAGTATCGTTGAGGATAAAGTGCTTCATGCATGCGCCCACTCCGTGTGCCTGAATACCTCGGATCATTGCCGTAGCGATCACTCCCACCAGATAGGGATCTTCGCCATAACTCTCGAAATTCCGCCCACCTAGGGGCGAGCGCGATAGGTTCATGGTGGGTGCCAACAGTACCTGGCAGCCCTTTCGGCGCGCCTCCTGGCCCAACACACTTCCGACTTGCTCTACCATCGCCGGATCAAAGGTAGCAGCCAGTGAAATTCCACACGGTATCCAGGTGGTCAGGGAGCCGTAGGTCCACTTGGAGCCCCGGACACCGGCTGGTCCGTCCGTCATCTTCAGGCTGGGGATGTGTAGGCGGTCGATGTTAACGGTTTCCCACATGTTCTTGCCCGCCAGGAGGGCCACTTTCTCCTCCAGCGTAAGGGACTGGAGCAGTTGGCGCACATGGGAGGAGACTCTTTCCTCATGAGGCATTTTGACAAGCAATTCGGTTTGGAAGAACCAGAAATTGTTGATCTTGGGGATGCTGGTGGCAGAGTTCGGGGAAAGGAGAGGGTAATTGTTCTTTTCAGGTCACCATGCACTCCATTTCTCCATCTCTACGACTCTGCATCCCCGCCCCCACGGGGAAGAATATGAACTTTCTGTCCGGATTCCTCTTCGGGTCCTCCGGTGTGACAAACCGATCTTGTTACTGTATGAAGATGCTTCACTGGTGATGCCCTGTTAGTCCCGGCGATATAGTGGAGAATCAGTCGCCGAATTAGTGGAGACTTCGGATCCGCCGGGTCCACTGGGCCCGCCATACAGGATTACCTCTCGTGGACAAAATCCCGACTTGGACATGGTATGAGGCCTTGATCCCCCGCGGCTCAAAGGTTAGGGTTTGACTGGCATGGATGTGACACTGAGGATTGCGTTGGACCCGCCCTCACGAAGGAATCTTGGTCTTCTCACGGGCCTACCACGACCATGGCCCACCTCTCAAGGAATCCTTCCCCGCGGGGAAATTGTTTCGCTTCCTACGAGCTCTAACCTAGCATCAAGATGCTCCGACTCTGGTCACTACCACGCGCCCGATAATCCCTCCCATTAAGTCCCTATTGGGGTGAAGGAAGACTTTTGAAACGCTAAAGCTAGCACTGGGAGTTTGCTTGTCGGTCAAGCTCGATTCTGCTCGTATTTGGCGTGATTTAAAGCTGGTAGCATTTCCCTCTCTTGTAGAATAGAAGTAGAGTCCGCAAATTCTCTGGCCTCAATCGAAAACTGCTGGCGAGGGAACTTGTCTAAGCTCTGTCTTTAATCTTTCATCCTTCCAAGCATGTCATCTTCCAACCCTCCACGGGAGGTCCCCTGGCTCATCTGGGTCGTGGCTATCTTCGGCTCCGTCTCATCCGCGGGCTTTGGCTTTGATCAGGGCTGGTGGGCAAGTATGATGAGTTCGACGCAGTTTACCCGTAGCTTCGGCTCCTACGACCCAGCCCACCAGGCCTGGTCCCTCAGCGATCGACAGCAGTCCCTCGGCACGGGTCTAGGCTATGTAGGGGTCATCCTCGGGTTGGTATGCGGCACACCACTGAACGAACAGCTTGGACGACGGAACAGTCTCTGGCTGCAGTCGGTGGTGGTGACTGCTGGGGTCGCCATTGAAGCATCCTGCCAGGACAGCTACGCGCAATTTCTGGTGGGCAAGGCAGTCGTCTACTTCGCCGGTGGCATCGCCTCGACGGTCATTCCGGTCTACCAAGGAGAGTGCGCACCTCAGCACCTCCGAGGAATGATGACAAGTCTCTATAATGCCTTCCTGATGGTAGGCGGCTTTTGTGCCGCTCTTATCGTCTACCTCTGTCGCCATGTGCCGAGCGACTGGGCCTGGCGCAGTGTCGTGGTGGCACAAGTAGCTATCCCCGCCATGGGGTGGCTGAGCCTGCCCTTCCTTCCTGAATCCCCGTATTGGCTACTACGCCGTGGTCGTCGTGCTGCCGCCATCACCAGCCTGCGCCGGCTGCATGCCCTGGATGCCGCTGCCGCTGAGGCCGAAATCATTTCCATCGAACAACAACTCGCACTGCAGCAACAGCAACAACAACAAGAGAAGGAGCTCGCATCCTGGATGGCCTGCTTCACAGACCCCATCCACTTCCGTCGGACCCTCATCGCTGTGGGCGCGCAGATCTTCCAGCAGGCTCAGGGAATCTCCTTCGTGGCCAACTATCAGGCCGTTTTTCTGGAACAGGTCGGGTTCCACCAGGTCCTGTTAATGTCGGTGATTGTCTATATCATCGGGATAGTCGGCAATCTCACGGGAATGTTCATGGCTGACCGCCTGGGTCGTCGTAGCGTGCTCCTCCCGGCATCCGGCCTACTCGGTGCTTGTATGCTGACCATTGGCGGCCTCACTACCCCCTCCACATCTTCATCTTCCCTCTCCATCGCGGTGGTGGTCATGCTCATGCTTTGGTTCTTTACCTTCCAGAGCACATGGGGTCCGTTGGCCTGGGCAATCACCGCCGAAATCCCACCCACAGGGACCGCCGTCCGCGAGAAGATGGTT